AACGAAACCAATTTTTAATTTTTTTTATGTGACATCGCAATAAAGGCAGGCAATGAGTGCACCACCATCTTTTCCTCAAAAACAATTGGTTAAAGTGGTCAGAAATTGCCACAGATCGCACCACAGAGCATCTAGAATCCAAAAATTGTTCGGGGCCCTTAAGCAGGCCCCGAACCCCACGCCGTAATTTTTGGACCCACTTTTTGGGGGGACCGAATTTTTTTTTGGCCCCCACAAAGAAATTGTGTTCTGGATCCGCCCTTGCTATAGTGTGAATGATTTTAGGATTTTATTGGCACTCCCCGTTGAAAATATGGCATGAGCCCCCCCCCCCCCCCCCACCACCACCACCACCTATTGATTTTCGGAGGCCTAAGTGTCTGGACAAAATAACCGGTCAACATTTCAGCACGCCTCCCTGAAAAAATTCTGGATCCACCGTGCTAGCCCCCCCCCCCCAAATATTGGATCTAGAACCACGCCTGTATAACACGCCCAGCAAACGACTCTCCGGTACCTCCTATCTTCTCTCCATTCACATGCAACTCCAAATTCCCAAAATACAAGCAACCACACGTCGGTAACAACCAGTCAGTCCCTAACATCATAGGCACAGTTATGTCAGCACTAACTGTTTTCACAGGCAAAACCGTTCTCCCAATTTGTAGTTCCATCCATATTGCACCTAAAACCTGCAATGGACTACCATCAACCTGACGTACTCTACTGCCGCAACTCTCGAAGACAGGTCCTGTTCCTTGGGTATCTGGTAGTAGACAGTGGTGCTGATCAACGTATCTGTGGCACTAACTAGTTTCCACTAACAACCGAGACTTTGTGGATCTTATCGGCCTCTCAACAAACAAACCCCGACAAGGACCCCTCACTGGCCCAGTCACCGTATGCAAATCATCTTCCCAGTCTAATTTCATTTTTCTCTCAAACTGCTTTTGTGGACCCTACATGCTGTTAAGCCTTTAATTCTGCGGGCCCCTCGGTCGTTTTTCTGAAGCGGGGACTTCTTTCGTCTTCGTTGTCCACACTCGCGGGCAAAATGACCCCTCTGGCCACACTTGTGACATTTCATGTCTGCCTGTGTTCTCTTCCTCGGAGGAAGTGAACCCTCAGGCCCCTCAGGTTCCTCGTGAGGTACCTCATGATTCACCTGCCATTGCGCCGACAAAATTTTCAACACGTTTCAGTTGCTGACCCAACTTGCTCTTACTCTTTGAATGCGCTCACTTACAGCTATTTCTACCGACTTGATTCTATGTTCTGTCTCTCCATCAACTGCTCGGATGAACTTTGTAGGTATTTCCAATCTGCGGTGAGCCTTCATTTTTTTGGAAGTTCTCTGTCTCGATTGCAGCTTGAATTGCTTCTTGAATTACTAATATTCTTCGGTATAGCACGGAATATGCCCTCACGGACGATCTGATCAGACACGGCATCGACAAAGTGATTTTTCACCCACAGATCCTTTGATTCTTCAGGGATTTCGGGGGACGCCTTTACTGCCACTCGTAAATCACCTGTCCCAACTCATGCAGAGTTTTCTTTGATTTCTGCCGCCTATGTCTAAGCTCCACCGGAAAATGTTTTGCCTGTTGATGACCAGGACCAAACTTCCGTGAAAACAACGCTACCAACTCATTTAAAGTGAGCTTTCTCCCCTGCTAGACACTACTCGCTAGAAACATTTGCATATCGTGCGACACCACAGGAGTCGACAGGCGAGTCGTCAAACATGTTCATGTTGGGGCGAGAGGTGTGCCTCACCATTGATCTGACTACTGAATTAACAGCAAAACAGGATGGTGTTGTACGAACGGACTACGCGAATGAGCTGCAGAAGCAGATGAGAGCTGCTAATGACAGGGCCTGAATTTGCTTGAAGCAGAGCGCCAGAAGGTAAAAGAAACGATTGACGAGCAACACGACCAAACTGGACCCCTGTAACTTTGTCTGGTTACACAACCATGCCAAAAAGATGGGAAAGACACTACTTCATCCTGCATAAATTTTCAGATGTCACCTACAGGATCCAAAGGAAAATGAAGGGCAAGATGAAGGTCGTCCACTGCGACAGACTAAAACCCTCTGTAGTGAGCCCATTCAGGCGTGGATAGTCAAGACACCTCGGAAGGACAGTGAGAATCAACCATAGGAAGAATAAGAATGGGAAGGATAAGTCTCGTGGCTCACCAGAAGGGACACAGGTGAGATGTCCTGAGTGCCGAATTCTGCTTCATAAGCGAAGCTTAGACGGACATTTAACGGTTGAGCATGGCCCCAAAGTGTACTACTGGTGTGGAAGATGTGCTCATAAGAACAACAGGCGCAGGAAAAGCAGTGAACAGGAGTCGAAGGGAACATGCAGGCCAAGTTGCCAAGAAAGGGCCTCCAGTAGGCAGCGAGCGAAACTCCTGAGAAGCCAAAGCATAACGGTGACTCCAAGCGAAAGGCGGCTGAGGATACAGAGCATCAAAGAACATCCTGCATAGTGACCAAGGACCAGCGTATCTGCACCGTGCACTGTGTCAAAGGCGCCAATTGACCAGACCAATACCTCAACATGTGTCACTGAGGGCGAGTCTACCCAAGACGGCAAAGCTATCAAGGCAGCCGGGTAGAGAACCAGGTGTAATGGCAGAGGCAGCAGGGACGCCTACCAAGGAGGCATATTCACCACAGGCATAGGGGAGTCAGATCACAGTCCACAAGGAGTTGCGGCAGAGGTAGAAGTCAAGACAGTTGGTTGACCAATGGAGGGATCGCCCCAGAGAGAGGCAGCAATAAATGTGTCACCGATGTCGATGCTATGGGTTTGGAGATGCCCGTTCCTGAGATACCAACCCAATCACCAGGAGGGAAGCCACTCATCCTTTTGAGACAACTGGAGCAAGAGAAACTGTCACGGAAATCAGGGTCGTGAGAGACTTCCCTAGAAAAGGAGCAAGGACATCAAGTCCCTGCAGGTACTCCGGGACCGTATTCGGTACTTACTCCCGGGGCTTGCTGTACGAGTCTCTGAGGAGGAAAAGAAAACCATATACACAAGTTCAGCGTGAACTGTGCAGGAGCACCAGACGCGCCATCAGCTTACCTGAGTTCGCAGGCTGGTATTGGATAATTAAGGGCACCTGTATCACAGGGGTTGGACAGGCAATGACTAACAGTGAGTGGGAGAAGAGCATTGTTGGATACATCAGCAAGATTACAAAGACAGTGACCCGCACTATCAGGATTGACTGCTGCTCACCAAGGATACAACTGATCGCGTTTTCAATGTGTTTCAGAATGTTAAGATTTTATTACGAGTGATATTTATGACAAACTAAAGTTGGTTCTGTTTATGTGTTTCAGTGTTGTATTAGCCTTTGACAAGTTAAAGTATAATGAGGATCGCCTACCACGAACAATTTATATAGGTGCTATAGTAGTACAGAGAGGGAGTTTTTATACCAGCGTGTGTGGTGGGTAATAATTGCCCCGCCAAGTCCTTGATCAACAAAATCATGCCAATCATTATCTAGTCACTGTGGGGGTGGGGGGGGGGGGGCCTCACACTGTGTGTGGGTTAGGTAACATTTAGTTCATAACTCACTCTTATAATCCCCAAATCAATTTGGGGATTATAAAAGTAGCCTGTGTAGGTGAGAGATCCACGAGACACCTGGTGTCAGTTTCCCATCCTTCCCCAGTCCCCCTGGTCAGTCCCTTTGGGTGGTGTGAGACCGAGCGTGTGAGGGTGTTCTTTTGATGGTGTGCTTCGGGCATGGCAGTAGACTTTGGCCAAAATGGATTTGCGATCCCGGCCTCTAGAGGCCTTGGCGATATTTGGCCAAGGTGAACTGGACAGTCGTTTGAGGGCAGTACTGCTACATATTGGTGTCAGAAGTAGGATAGGCGCCGTTGTATCACAACTAGAAATCACCAAAGAAATATTCATTGATTTCAGATGTCTCGTTTGCATTATAGAAGGTTTATTGTGATGTACGAATCAGGGTTGAAATTAGTCTTGGCTCAAGATGTTGTTCAGTATTGGATTTGCAAAAAAACAACGCCGCTGCGATAACCGGCCGCTGCAAGAGGGTGTTGTCACGACAAACCACTATCACCCACGAACTGCCAACAACCACCCCCAGTTCATGGGTGTTTTGCAGTTTGGCGTGATATCATGGGTTATCATGGCGGTAGCTTATTGCCAATCCAACATGCAACGTCGTCTTGACCCAAAACTAGGTTGAAATTTACAACTGTATATTTATACATGTTCATACAAGTAACAAATTTAAATAGCTGGCTGTACACCCCTTGTGGGAGGTGTCCTATTTGTACCTATCTCACTGACTAGTCACATGCTAAATCAGGTAGGATGAAGTAGGGGCGGCGACCTTATACAAATGGTTCAGTAACCAATGAACGTTTGCCCCGAATGAATGACCAAATCATTTGGGATCATTCTTTCTACAATTTGGGGTCATCTAAAATGATAGACGTCTAACTAACTAGCACAGATCAAGCATGCACAAAAATAAAAAGCAGAACAATCGTTTCAGAATATAAGAAGAACTCACGTTTCATGGGTTCCAAAATTTATTGCAACAATGCAAAGAAAGAGCAACTAATTCATGAGAAAAACTGTTAGAAATGACAAGGGCCCAATTTCATGGCACTACTTAGCATACAACTTTTCTGCTAAGGCCAAAAAAAAAAATAATCGGTCTCTGGTCAGACCAAAGTTCCGGAATTGACACAGCCACGCGGCTTTTTTTTTTTTTTTTTTTTTTTTTCTTTCTTTCTTCAAGCTTGGATTGTACAGACAAGGTACATGTAGGTACTATTTTGCTTTATTGGTGTCCTCCATAATTTGCCTTGGTGCTTTCGATCATTTGCCTTGGTGGAATTTCCCATTCCTCGGTGCTCTTTGGTAAAAAAAAATTGAGGTGCGGAAATAGAGGGCGCTATTGGAGCTACCGCGGAACATTTTGGAAAAAAAAAAAATTGACGCGCATGATTTAAATCGACGCGCGCGCTGACCAGAGACCGACTTATTTTTTTTTTTGGCCTAACAGAGCTTCCGTCTATTTCATGGAGACCGTTAGCAGTAAGCGCAACAAAAAGGAACGCTTACCTCAGAAGGACGAGCTGCTTATCCCTCCTATGCAAATATACATTCTGTGCAAATTCAGTCAAAATCAATCAAGTGACTGTTTTCAATGGTTAGGGAAAAGGATTCAAAACATTTTTGACAGTGCAGAGCTCATGGTGCATGCATGTGTGGGCCCTTGGGCTGGGCACTTTGTCACTCATACAGGAGGGCAGAGATGGTGTTGTGGTTGATTTTAGCTGGTTTGCACCAACATGGCAGCATTGAGCTGTATACTCCCCAGGGAGCTGAGATGGTGTTTGGAATGTTTCATTGGCCCAATCAGCATAATAATGATGTAGCGCCTTGAGCACCAATACTGGTGGATACCTGCGCTTTATACATGTAAATACATATCATCCCTACATGCATTGGGAATTACCACAATTGACCAAACATAATATCAAATTAGGTTTTGCCCTTCACCGACGTTTTTTAAACACTGTATACTCAGTGTGTTACCTCCCAAGTGAAAGTTGGAAAAAATCACTCGGGTGGGACTCGAACCCACGACCTCCTGCTTTGTAGTGCAGATGTCTTACCACTCGACCACCGAGCTAACAGGATCGGTTGACCGGTTCGGCATAATATGTTTGCTTTTCATGCATTTTGTTCGTCAATTCATGCCATTATCCTCTTTTACCAGAACACCTGAGTATAGGCCATATATTTGGGCACTGGCCTACCCAAAGAGCGTGGACTGGCTTCCTGTGGTGTAATTAATTGCCTTAAGGGATTAACCAGATAATGTTACACTGGGCTCAGTCAAATATAAAAATCCTGGTACAAAAAGGGCCCAGGCTTTTAAAAGGGAAAATCACCTCATGCCAAAAATAACACCACTTGTGGCCGAATATTTTTTGCGACACGAACGCGAGTTTCAGAATGTCAAAAGGTCGTATTTCACTTAAAATGACCCGACTTTACACACAAAGTCAATGGACGTCGAGATACGTCCTTGTTGCACAGAGCGTATTCACGCGAGATACAAAGCTTTGTTGCAGAATGGAGTTACGACCTTGTTGCACTGACGCGACGATATTGGATATCTCAGTTTTGAGACCCTGGCATTACTTTTCTGCTTGATGCCGACAGTTCCATCGCAGGGTAAGCAAATCACAAGTCAACCTGAGGAAGGCTTTTGCGTGTACACGTACATCATTAAAACATACAAAGCTTTTGAGACTCCTCCTCACCTAGTGAATAATGAATATTGTGTGGCACTACAGTCTGCAGGAAAAGCAAGATTGCCCCACCGACTGCAGCTTGTCTCTGTTGACAATTTTCTTTCCTCACAAAAACGGTTCAGTTACAGGTATCCGCTCCGTTCACAAGTACCCCCTCACCGGCAAACAAAGTTGGGGGTGACCGACCAACGCCATCTTGCCTGACTGCAATTTTGCCCCGACCCGCAGCTGTACCACTGCGAGTTCATAGTACAAATCCCCTGGTGTACATGCGTCATACACAAGGAACGGTGCATGTCAAACAACTACATGTAAATGGCCCGCCCATGGGATGTCGTTGCTAGTTATAAGGGCGCCCTCTTTGTTGGCACACGGAGATCATAGTCTCTATTAACAGTGATAAAAGAATGAACTGCTTTTCTCATCGAGAAGAGCAAAACAGCCTTTATTCTTGGTCAACAGCTTGTTTTCCTCTGAAGCAGACGATCCATTATTCGTTCACAAAAGTAAACTCTCAGGTTAGAAGTCTGTTGAACTCTGACATGAGGCTGGATTTCTTGATGGTCTCCCATGTCCTCCCTGCGTAGTGAAACCTGCAAATGTCAGAAAATAAAGGTCTTTCAATATCAAAGAGACAGAACACCATTCAGGGGAGTCACCATGTTCACTTTTCAGGAATTCTCTTCGTCATTATAAATTACAAATTAAATTAAGGTCAAAATGAAATATTTAAAAAGTTTCTACACTCAGACAAACATGTTTGTTTTTTTTGTGTTGTATGAAGACTTTCATGTTTGGCTGTCCGCTACAACAAGTGGTATCAAAATGTATCAACTAAATTAAAGATCATGATTGATTAATATGACTTGAAGCTTTGCATGGGGCATGCGATAAAATTGAGGAAATTTTTCGGGAAATTTTCTGTCCGTTCTATGGACGGACGGAGCACACTGTCCGAAATATCGAGTTCTACTCTCAACCAACCGGTTCTTTTCAGAACCACACTTCTTCCAAGAAGCGATTTCTTTCCACATGGTGTTATCCGAAAATTTCCTCTATTTTAGGCCCCCCCCCCCCCCCAAAAAAAATGTTCGGTCTCTGGTCAGACCAAAGTTCCGGAATTGACGCGGCCACGCGGCTTTTTTTTTTTTTTTCCGTCAAGCTTGGATTGTACAGACAAGGTGGGTACTATTTTGCTTTTTTGGTGTCTTCACGTACATTGGTGTCCTCCATAATTTGCCTTGGTGCTTTCGATCATTTGCCTTGGTGCAATTTCCCATTCCTTGGTGCTCTTTGGTAAAAAAAAATTGAGGTGCGGAAATAGAGGGTGCTGTTGGAGCTACCGCGGAACATTTTGGAAAAAAAAAAAATTGACGCGCATGATTAAAATCGACGCGCGCGCTGACCAGAGACCGACTTTTTTTGTTGTTGGCCTTATCATGATTGAAATTTAAAGTGACTGATCGATCAGTCACTTTAATCCGGCAAACATTGACTAAGTTTGAACACTTTTCAGCACCGAAAACTAAATAAGAGAGATTCAGTTGCAAAAGTATTAAAATATTATCTAAATTAAAACCAATTTAGTTGATACACAACATGTATTGGCTGTCCGCTACAACAAGTGGCATCAAAATACATGTATCAACTATAAAGATGATGATCTTTACTTTAGTTGATATTTAAAGTGACTGTCCGATCAATCACTTTAATCTGGCAAACATTAACTAATTTTTAACATTTCATATATTTGAAACAATCTGCAGCATAAAAAAACTAAATGAGGGAGTTGCAGCTGTAAAAGTGCTATCAAAATATTAACTAAATTAAAGATCAATTTAGTTGATATATAAAGTGACTGATCAATTAATCACTTTAATCTGGGAAACATTGTCTAATTTTAAACATTTGTATATATTTGAAACAATCTACAGCACCGAAAACTGAATAAAAGGAGTTTAAGCCGTATTTAAAAAAAAAAAGTTGCTCCACCCGCTCTGCTAAAATCCAGAAGAAAAAAAACGTCCGGAGCATCTGCTAAAAAAGGCCATTTAAGTAATTGATCTTTAGGGCTGTCCATTCGCGAATAATTTAATATTCGACTACTCAAAACTGCGTTGACTGAATATATTCAGATATACAAAACTGCCAGCTGCAATTACATGTACATGCCGCGCCGGTCAAAAGATCCAAGCAGAGCGTGCAAGTTAAAGGGAAAATACAACATTTGAAAACATCGAAAAAAAGTTTTTACAAAATACCTTACTGGGATGTTGGTAAATGACAGTCTAAAGCACCCTGTAAAATTATGGCACCTGTTGTGAAGTCATTTTCAAGAAAATTGTATTTTTGTATACATTTCCAACGGTGGTCGGCCAACCACCGTAGGAAAAACCTAACTATTTTCTAACTTCTGCTCCAAATTACCCATTTGTTTCAGTCCAAATTGTGTTTGCCATTGGTTACATGTTCATGAACGGGTGCAGGCCAGCTGGACTGGTTCCCTTTACCTTACAATTTTCCGGCATCTATAAATTGATCCATTTCATCTTTAGTGGAGTCGGGGAACCAGACTGCTTGAACGTTTTTGTTTTTCTTGGTTTTTCCGGCATTTTCGCACACAAAACTTCAAAACATGTCAGTGTAACAATATTTGATCTATTATATTAACCCCTCAAATAGTTCATTCTGAAAATTACAGCGAAAGCCAATGATGTACATTCCCTTTAAAATGTGTGTGTGGCGCACTCAATATGGTCCACTGGAGAGTTTTGCAGTTAACATTTTATAACTGTCCAGGGCTTTAACCCGATGGGAACAGTGAATCGCCGTCAACCAAAAGTTACCATCGACAACTTTACAATAAGATAACATCACAGTTGTGTGTGCATGTGCGTAGTCTTTTTGGTTTTCGAATATTCAAACTCAAAAAAAGCTATTCGAATATGTTGTTGATGATCGAATATTCAAATATTCAGGAATACCTTTAATAAATTAATCACCTCAAAAGTGAAAAGAAAATTTGAAGGACAATTTCTGTCACCACCAATTTTTTTGGGGAAAAATAACTGACCAGTTCTTCTCAGTCAGAGAGGTGTGAGTGAGGGAACTTCTGGCAGCACCGTAGATCTGGTTCCGGAAAGACTTGACGAGGAGGTCCACACTGGGATGGCCTTGGTATGAGACCGGTAACAGACTCAGCAAGATTGACTGATCTGATGAAATGAAAAGAAAAACATTCATACCAACCTCGTCCCCAGGGTGTCGAGCAGTACAGTACGCGCCCACCACTACCTGCTCTCTCACCCTGGTATTGGATCATTTGCATGTGCAAGATTTTTGAACACGTATGCAAATGAGGAATAGTCTGGCGCTAAATTTGCGTTTGTTTTTGTATGCATTGTCGGGGGTAAAAACAACGTCAATTCGTCACGCCGTGGGGTGTAATGAAAACATAATTTTTTTTGGAAGTTAAAATGTTACTATCTGGCCCACCGATATGCGTGACAACACGTAATGCATGTTGGAAATAACAACACCAACTACACGATATAGATCTATTATAGCAAATTGCGGTATCGAATCAGAATGCAAGAAGAAAGTTTCCTATCCAGGGCTTACTATTGGAAACGAGGTTGGAAATAAAGTAAGCATCGGCGACGAGGTTAATTCATACAACATTCCAACATGTTTATATTCAAATCCTTAATTGTTATTAGGGGTGTGCATCGGAACCGAGTACCCAAGTACTGGTACCCGTCTGCTGATGTCAGGAACCGGTTCCAGATTATGGATTAGGGTACCCGTAACCAACTTTACAAATTATACAGTAACTTCTTTAGAGACCATGGAAAATAAAGATTTTGAAAGCCATCCGTGAACATGTTCAAAATATATTGTTGATGTACCCTAACGTGGTGCGGCCCCCAACGTGGCGCACTTTCATTTTTCGCCGGTAGCGCCTACCTAGAGCAAAAGTTTTAACTGAAATTCCACAAAAAGTGAAATTTCATCAAGTTCTAATTACTCCCGTTCATAAATCACGAGTTTATTTACCCGTAACAAAGTTAGAAGAAAAATTTATTTTGGCGTGATTTTCCGATTTTATTCTCAAGTGCAAAGTGAACCCTTTCAAAATGCCCCGAAAAATGAGAAAATAATTTTTTGACAAACACCTGGCTGGGTATGTTAGTAGAGATAATAATTATTTATCAGAACTTACTGAGGTTTACAGAAATTATTAAATGTTAATTTGGAATTTTCCAAGATTTATTCAAGTGCGCCACGTCAGGAAACACTCCGCCAATTTGTGCCCAATTTCCAGACGCCACCGTTTGAATTTCGGATTAAATTTCATGAAACCGAAATTGTTCACAGAGGTTAAATAGCAAGCATTAATAAGGTAAAAGTACTAGTATTTTACTGCATGAGTTTGAGGTTTGTCAAAAAAGAGGTTTGGCAACACTACACGAGGAAAGTCGGGTAAGCTTCGAAGTGCGCCATGTAATAGGGAACACGACTATAAACTGAAATATTGAAAAACCGAAACAGAATTGACAGATCACGCATGAAGTCCAAAAATTTGGGACTCTCAATACTCTGTTTGCGTGAATTCTTGGACTTGCCTGGAAGCTTACCATCAGTGGATGAATGCTCAGAGGCCGCAGTGTCCAGACAGGGCAGGACAAACAAGTTGACATCAAGCGGCAGGTTTTTAGGATTCAAACCTGGCATCAGTTTGGTGTGGGTCAAAGACGCTGTTCCTGTGAAAATGCAAAGAAGGATATAATTTAACCCTGCGCAGTGTTTACAAGAAATGTTTATCCGAAGCTAGTCGCCAACTGCATACCTTTGGGACGCAGGTACTTCCCCTACTACGCAAGACCCTATCCATGTCAAAACAACAAAAAGCCACGTGCCAGACAGTGTCCAGGCATTTGCCAGACAGGGCACTTAAAAGATAATTGACTGGTGGCTGCGGTTTGCAGCTATGAAGGGAGATGGCTGTGTCAAGTTACAGGTGTTTGTATATGTTTCAATGAGACTTGGCAGGCCTGGTCCCAAGGTTGTGACACCGCTCGGGTGAAACCCTGGCTGCAAAGTTCATTGAACCAGCTGATTTGGCATGGGTTGAATGAGGATTAGATGGAAGGTGAACGTCATTGGCCCTCAATTTATTTTTTTCCAAAAAATTCGGTCACCTGCGTACCCGGGGTACGCAGGTCACCCCGCGCAGGGTTAAAAAGTGGGTATTACACTATTCTGGATTTATGATGTTATGACATTATGTCATCATGGGTCATGAGGCGTCATCTGAAAGGAGCATCCCAGAAAACTACAAGTGTGGTTGAGTTGTAGGTCAAAATTAGGGCGACGTCATTGTGGCAGGGCCAAATTTATCTTGTATATTTTCCATGTATGTATCGTATGTATTTAATAGCAGTAGCTCCCCTTAGAAGAAGAAATTCATTTTAGTTTAAGTTTAGATGTAACCCCCCCCCCCCCTTGTTGGTAGTGTGACCCACTATTTGTTTACTTTAGCCCACATGTTCCCCTACACTTCAGTTCAGCCAGCAGACCAGCAGACAAAAGACATACATGCATATATTTTCCTCCTAGTCCTAACTGGAGTGCCTGTTCTGCTTGAAGTTAGTCTGTTGCCGAGTCATTTGCTTTGGTGAGTTTTCTTTAGTATATTGTCAACTTTTCATCTATCATGTATACTTATTTTTTGACCTTTATTTCAGTTTTCTTTTGAAAGGTGGTTAGTTTTTTATAGGAAAAGGCGATTTTTGTCAGCTTTAATCTTTGAAGAATTGCCAGTTCTGAAGTGACCCTTTTCATATTATTTTGCTTAAGACTTAAGTATTTTTTACTTCTTTTGATGATAGTTGTTGTTATCCTTTCTGTTTTAATGATGAAGGTTAAAGTTTTGTATGGACGTCTCATTTTGATTCCTTAAGAGAAAAGTTTCTAGTTGTTCTGTTTGACTGCAACCTTAGTTTTACTGAAGGATAGATTTTGCCTTGTTTCATTCAGTAAGGTTAAGATTTCACTTTGATTTTAGATTTTCTCATTTTCTTTTTGCAAATTTTTTTTAAGTATTAATACATAAGTCTAGATGATCTCAACCATGTGCTTTAACTTTTCATAGAATTGTCTTTGTACTCATTTAAAGGGAATGTACATCATTGGTTTTTGCTGTAATTTTCAGAAATGAACTATTTGAGGGGTTACTATGATAGATCAAATATTGTTACACTGACATGTGTGAAGTTTTGTGTTCGAAAATGCTGGAAAAACCAAGAAAAACACAAATGGTGGAGTGGTCTGGTTCCCTGACTCCACTAAAGATAAAATGGATCAATTTATAGATGCCGGAAATTTGTAAGGTAAGGGAACCAGTCTAGCTGGCCTGCACCCGTTCATGAACATGTTACCAATAGCAAACAAAATTTGTACTGAAAAAATGGTGAAGCTAGAGCAGTAGTTGAAAAAAAAAACGGTAGTTAGGTTTTTCATACGGTGGTCGGCCGACCACTGTTGGAAATTTATACAAAAATACAATTTTCTTGAAAATGACTTCACACTAGGTGCAATAATTTTACAGGATGCTTTAGACTTTCATTTACCAACATCCTAGTAAGGTATTTCATAAAAACTTGGTAGTTTTATTCTTCGATGTTTGCAAATGTTGTATATTCCCTTTAACTCACATGGCCTGTGTAAAGGATGGTGCCACTGGCCTTATTTTAGGATGCGCTAATCCTTCACCTTGGGGATTAGTGTCTATCACTTCCTAAATTTGTGAGAGAATTTGTTTATTACCTCATGAATAATCATGAGATCATTTCCTTATATGTTTTCTCTTTTTGTATTTTCTTGTTTACAGATTTCTGCCAAAGTGTATTTTCTAAAGATCCACTATACACACTGTGTTGGTTTTTGGTTAATTTAAGTCTTTGGATTTAGGTTTTATTCTTTGCTTTTAGTTTCTGGTTTTTGGTTTCAAGGTTTTTGTAAATAAATTATTTTTGGTCATTTTTGGTTTGAATCAAAATCTAGAATTGTGTCCCTTGTCTCCATTAATTCAATCTCCTTGCAACTGAGTTCCCTTCAAAGATCCTGAGATACATGTAGTTAATCCCCATAGATTCTTAGTTTGTGAGAGTTCCCCAAGTGTGTCATTTTTCCAGGTTACATCGATCATGATGAGATGTCATCTTAAAGGTGCATATTTGAAATTACTACATCTAGATTAAGTGGAACGTCGCTATACCGAACATTGTGGGATCCACAGAAATCAGAGCTGCTGACTCGAGTCATGTGACTTGGACTCGAGTCGGACTCGAGTGACTTGAATTGTAAATACCAGCTTTGACTTGTGACTTGACTTGGACTTGCAAACAATGACTTGTGACTTGACTTGGGATTGCAAAAAACGTCGGTGAAGGGCAAAACCTTATTTGATTGATATCACCCCGACGCAAAATTCCATCTTATAGGCTAATAGTTTATGCGGTACCCGCTGCTATGTACATCAGATCCGAACCGGCCACCCGATCCCGTTAGCTCGGTGGTCGAGTGGTAAGACATCTGCACTAGAAAGCAGGAGGTCGTGGGTTCGAGTCCCACCCGAGTGATTTTTTTCCAACTTTCACTCGGGAGGTAACACACTGAGTATACATGTACAGTGTTTTAAACGTCGGTGAAGGGCAAAACCTAATTTGATAAAAAATGACTTGTTACCAACCCAAGTCAGATGCTACTCGAGCGACCCAATACACTTTACATGTAATTAAGCTATTATACTTTTAAGTAGCTATTCGGTTTACGCCTTACGTGCATTAAAAAACGAACTTTGGCTTGCGCGGTTTCTACTTCGCCCAGCTGCAGCTGTAGATCATATCAGTGAGCTGAGCTGTTATGTTGCGTAATGCCTGCCTGCACTTCTGGTTGGTAAATAAGAACAGCCTCTCCAGACTCATTCCTCTTGCTATAGGAGGGTGCTGTCTGTTCCTGCTACTAGCTCCCCATCGAACGTGTATTCAGTCATGGAGGAATAATTATGAGGCCACACAGAGCAAAGCTGAGTGATACTATGCTATCAATCTTGTTTATTTGAAGTGTAACAGTTTGTACATGAAAAAAATAGATTCTTTTCAATTGAAGTCGCCCAACACAAGGCCCAAAAAGGCCACTCAAGGTGTTTATAAATGCAGTTTATAGTTGCAGCGAGAAAGTTTCATCCCAGAAAATAGACCTCAGTGACTGAATCCAGTAAAATGAATAGTTCCCACTAGTTTCAAAAGTTTTCAATAAGACTGTCACAACAAACTACAGTTTACAATGACCAAATCTCTTGCTTAATGTAATGGTTGAACAAACTTTGAAAGGAACCTTTCATGAAAAGAAAGCAGGCCTTTGTCAATTGCATGTAAAATACCGGATAGCCTAACACATTGGTCGGCGTTTAGTATACATGAAAATTGAACAATAAAGTGTTAGTATACTACATGTAATCGAGTGAGTGAAGTCTTTTTTTCATGTCATCTCAACATTTATTTCTACAATGTTAAGTAAATTTATTAAAGTATACAAAGGGCTAATATCCGACAGATATGTGATAAACTACAAGAATAGTAATTGCAACACAATGAAAAAGGGGAATTAAGGAGGCATGTTCAAAATAACTCGTAAGTTCACGCCAGGTTCTTTTAGCATTATTACAGCCGGACAAAATAATGTGCAACTTGACGTGTTCTTGGACAAAGATACTTGTGACTTGACTTGTGTTTAGACCAAATGACTTGTGACTTGACTTGTGACTGGACCTAATGACTTGTGACTTGACTTGTGACTGGACCTAATGACTTGTGACTTGACTTGGACTTGCAAACAATGACTTGTGACTTGACTTGGACTTGCAAAAAATGACTTGCTGCCACCTCTGCAGAAATTGATGGTAATAACGATCGTTCAGTGTAGCGATTTTTACTAATTAGTGACGCCCTCTTTTGATCATTGTTATTGTGTAGTTGCATTTACAAACAACGCGCGTAGTCGCCATGAGTGTCAATTAATATTTTCAATTCAGTAGCAGAACTTCACCAAGTACGCACTGGTAGTTACTGAAAGACACAGTTTTTGGGCTTATATGGGTGGCTTTTTCCTACTTTTTGTTGGGGAAAGCCATTTGTCGCTCTTCTGTTGACATTTCCAACAACAATATTCGGTACGTTTTGTACACAAAAATTGGGAGCCAAGGCTGATGTTCGGTGTATAGCCGAATGTTCGGTATAGCGGACTGTTCGGTATAGCAACGTTCCAGTCCACTGTAACAACTTATTTTTCATGGAACATGTTCGTTCACATAAACTCACAAGAAATCACACAGCGGAAATGCCCGTTGCTCTTTTCATAAAACAGACATAGATCTCTCGAGCATGAAGGTTCATTTCAAATAAATAAATAAAAGTATCTTTCATTTTCTTGACAAAGAGGCCTAAATCTATTTTTTTTTCTTTTTTCCCTTCTTTTTATGCTTACAGGAGAACAATTATTGTCATTATGTAGAACTGGCAAAATTGACTGAGCCTGGCAGTTTGATTTAGCGTGTTTAAGTGATATATAACTGTGCGACAAAACATTAAATTGAGTCTTAACTACGGTACATGTATACAATTCTCACTGTCAATTTAAACTCCATTTTAAACTGTTTAACACAATTATTCCACCTATTAGAAAGTTCTACATGCAAGGGCGGATCTGGGGGGGGGGGGGGAACCACAACAGGGGCCATGTGTCCCCCCCCCCCTAAAAAAAAATGCAATATAAAGGCAGGCACTGGGTACACACCACTATCATTTCCTCCAAAAAAATTGGTTACCAAAAAAAGTGGTCAGAACTTGCCTCAGATCGCACCAGAGAGCATCGAGAATTCCAAAAATTTCAGCGGGTCGCAAACCCCGTAGATTTTGGACCCACTTATTTTTTTGGGGGGGGGACCAAAATTTTTTGGGGGACCACCCTCAAAATTGTGTTTTATGGATCCGCCCTTATCTACATGTACATAAAGGACAATGCCAAAAATGTGAAATTCGATTAGCAAATCATTTTTCTCCCATACATGTAAAATGACTATAAACACTGTCTGGACTGTGACAAGTCTAAAAAAGTTTGATCCTAAAAATAGCACATAGGGCCACCACACATGTATGTTCATAGCCTATTGCCGGTGTATTCACTTGGGAGGTTACTTACCGCACATGCGCAGTGTGAGACATCCACTAGTCTTCGCATGTTGGCGACATTTTACCAACATGTTCTGTCGCTATGGTGGCATAAAATGTTTAAAATTTCCATTATGTGAGTTTTCCCAAAGTTATACCCCGAAAAGATATACTCCAAATAAGTTTCCAATAAAACTCACCGTATAATCAACTGGGCTACATTTCTTTAAAAGGAGTATTCGTTGCTTTCTTTTTACCATGCAAATTGACCGTGAATTATACTGATGAAGAGCAAATCAATAATTGTGAATAAAAAAAATTGTAGCTCCCTATTTATCACCTGGAAGGGAACATTGACATTGCTGGCTGCACTTTCATAGGTCTCCCTTATTCCTAAAAATTCAGATTTTTAAGGAACAAAATAAACATCTGAATCAACGAAAATCACTGCTTGCGAAGAGACTACTACTTCATTTGAATACGGAGCATCAATAGACCTATTGAAACAAAAATTAGAGTAAGAAAAGACTGATTATGCCATGCCGCATTTAAGCCTTATTGAGGGACAAAGGCTGATGGCGTGGAGTGGAATACCTGGGCACAATAGACAAACTAAGTGGAGCGAAGGAACATACGTGCACAGCTAGCGTACATACCCTGATGAGAAATGATAAGGTATGGTAGTACATGCGTATGTATTACTTCCCAAGGCCATACTCATTTCCTAGATTTGTGAACTAGTACAGTCCAGGTATGCATGTACATGTATGTGTTTTCAAGTTATTTTAAAAAGAGGATAAAAGGCACCGGTCATGCCGGTAAGTTACAGACATGTACGGTACATGTTATTTATGCTGTACATGCACAGTATGTACAACATTTCCAGTAATATGCTCTCGTGATGACAGGTCTGTAACTGGCCTTTCATAGTTATTCACTTTAAAGTTTGGAATGCACAAAATTTGTATCCCTTGTACACTGATCATTTATACTACCGGTACTTCAATTCATGAGTCCTACATGTACCGGTAGTAGGCATACATGTATGTGGGCCCTACATGTACATTGTAAAAGGCAAAGGGAGAGGACCAGAAAATTGGAGCCTATTTTGAGTGAAATATGGGCAATTCCATGGGTAACCATGGAGGAATATGGGGAAACAGACTGACATTTTTTTTTGGGGGGGGGGGGGTCCACAACGTATCCCCTTCTGTGAGGTTGTAGTAGTACATGTAAATTAGGAAGTACTGTCAAGTGCATTTTTGTTCATTGCAGATGCCCGTACATTAGCCCGACTGCGTCTGGCCGTACAGTACTATCGCAAGCTCTGTAGTACGGCCAGACCGCCAATGCTCCCCTACACACTGAACTCAGATGTAGCGATTTTGCTACCGATTTTGATCTAGATTATCTTTTCATCCAGGACAGAAATTTCCAAAGTTAAGGTTCCTAGTCGTAGAGGAACTCATACCTTTTCAAAAAAACGTTTTTTTTATCCCAAAATCTTCATCCATCTGGGTAAAAGATGACATTCAGTCATCACCGCCCACGAAAATCGTCCCGAAAATTTTCCTCCATGCGATTTCAAAATGGCGGCCGCATTGTAATGTATGCATTATGCGGGCGCGCTTGGGCAAGTTATGAATATGCATTACATTTCATGATGTTTGTCAGGCGCGTGGCGTGGCTGGCCATACAAACATGAGGTCATGAACTGAATAATGCATATTCATAATCTTGCCCAAGCGCGCCCGCATAATGCATACATTACAATGCGGCCGCCATTTTGAAATCGCATGGAGGAAAATTTAGGTAAAATGGAGAGAAAAAAAACAGTTTTGGAATTCTGGGTACTTAAAAGAGAAGCTTTTTGTTTAAGGGTATAGTCCATCATTTGTAATTTGTGCATTTTGTTTGTTTGAAGCAACAATAGTGCTCAAATTCTAAAGGAGGGGTGCTGAACAGCTAACCTGATGAAGTTTCAGCTCAGCTTCAGCTGTATACATGTATATACTTCAAGAAAAAATAGCATTCTAGGATCTCAATTCCAAATAAAAAGTTGCTGAATCATGTTTTGAATTGGGCCTGAATTTCAGCATCCGAGACACGTTCTCACTGAGCTGATTGCAGCTACGCGATGTCGTGCACCGATCCGAAAAATTATAGCAACGCTTGCGCACATTTGAAAAAAACAAAACTAGTAACGGAAATTTCCGACGGTGCTTCTTAAAACGCACCGTTGGAATTCTTTCATTGATTTCTTCAAAACGACAGCTTGCCAGAAAGAATAATTTCACAGGGAGTTTAGTCATCTTACTATCTTTCAAACAAGTATGTTATTCAACAATAAATACGCAAGTTAGTTTTTGGATAGCTGAAAATGATAAAATAAAAAAAGAATTGTCAAAATGTAACTAAATTTGCAAGTTATGCAAATTTTGCTTTTTAACCAGTAAGTGTGTTTTTTCCACCCATTTGTTGGTCAAATGTGAATTTAATGTAAAGTTGAATGACATTTTTGTATTCTGTACCTGATCCGAGCTTCAGAATGGTAGCCAACATGATAAATTATTATGAAAAATAATTTTTGACCCGAGGTTGACATTTTCACGGAATTGCCCCTATGGGTTATCAAAAGTTAGACTCCATCTAAATCCTCTCCGTCTTGTTTCTGAAGCGTTTGTAAGCCCTTCACGTCCAAATGAAATGGAAATACAGTAAACTCCGGCTAAACCGACATCATACAACTCTCAAATCGCTCAAGTCGGCTGTCTGACTAAAGTCCATTGAATTTTTTATTTCTCCGTACCCTTTCCATTAAAGGCATTACAAAATCCTTTGTGTAAGTCGGCATTCAACAAATCACGCATTGGCATTGACTTCCTGTAACTGCGGTTGGCAAAGTGTCGAGTGAAAAGTGGCCCGTGATCGCTGCATGCATTGGTGTCCAAAAAGGGTGTCCTACTGCATAAATCGCATATGCATCGTGAGCATATCAATACCAGTACCCCCTCTAGGCTGTACGCTTGCGCTCTGTCCATTTTGGGGGGTCTTATTGAATGACTACTGCTGCAATCAATGCATGCATGGTACCGTATATACCACATCACGCACACATTTAATTCGTTACTGTGCACGTACATACCAGTATGTATCGTGGTCTCCACTATCAATACCCCAAACATGATGATACAATTCGAGGATTAATTTGGTGGATTCAACTCAAGCATTAAGGAGATAATCCAGGGTAAATCGAAGCCAATTAGTGCAATGAATCGTGTGCAAAAGACCATTCATGTAAGTCGGCAAAATTGCCGACTTACAGCAGATATCGGCATTCGGGTAAGTCGTCACAAATTCTCGGGTCCCGAGTGCTGGTTTAGCCGGAGTTTACTGTACGTCAAAGTCAGGCTTCATGTTACGTGATTAGATGAAGCAGTATCATGAACCCATAGTGAAACACAGTCTTCACAACCCTGGAAGCCTAAGCCAAAGGGGAAGACAAGGTTTAATAAAAATTGATTTCCTTGTTCAACAGATTTTAATATGGCCAAAGTGACAACAGAAGATGTCCTGGACAAGATCAGTCAGGGTCACCTGGAGTGCACAATTTGCATCCAACGCTTCAACCGTCCCAAAATCCTCGACTGCTTCCACAGCTTTTGCCTTGAATGCCTTGAGGATTACAAACTCACCCAATATCCATCAAGCCCTAAACTTCCATGCCCAATCTGCCGAAAGGAAACTGTCCTGCCTGACAACAGAATTGCTGGTCTCTCCAACAACTTTGCCATGATTGCACTGGTCGAGGAATTCACTCACCAGAGAAACCTCTTGAAGAGGCAGAAGTCGAGGATAGTGTGCGAAGTTTGCGAAGTCGATGAGGCAATTTCCAGATGCATTGACTGTGCAGAGTACCTGTGCTGCGAGTGCCAGAGAGCACACCAACGGGCAGTGAAGACGAAGAAGCACGAGATTGCGACCCTGGAGGATCTGCAGTCGGGGAAGGCAACCTTCAAGAGCAAGATGCGAAATGAGGTACCTAAGTACAAGAAGCACTCCAACCAAGAGGTCTTGATCTGCGCTGACTGCACCACTGTAGACCACTGCAAACCATCTCATACATATGAGGACATCGAGGCAGCAGAAATGTCATTCCGAAATGAGGCCCGATACTGCACTCCAAAAATCCCGCACACCCAGCGAGGAATGTACGCAGCCGGCCAAGTCGCCCATGTCTGCAACCCATGCTGGCCACAGCCTCAAGCTCGTCCCCTTACCCCTTTATTCCAGAATACATGTATGCCTGCTGGAGGTAGGCGCCGCTTTGCACAGAACCTGCGTACCCCTGCGCCTGGCGCGACGCCCACCCATCTTGTTCATCCTAGAGTTTTGCAGCAGCCAGCTCCATATGCCCAACACGTCACCACCATCTCTGGCAAGGAACCCATAACCCCCAGCATGTTGGCCGCCGCCACCCCTCAGCAACAGAAGCAGATGTTCAGAGAGCGTCTCCTCCCATTGATCAAACGCAGTCACGGCCAGCTGGCCGGTAAGATCACTGGTATGCTGCTGGAGATTGATAACTCAGAATTGCTGCATATGCTGGAGTCCTACGAACTCCTCAAAGCCAAGGTGGATGAAGCTGTGAATGCTCTGAAGGCCCACCAGGCCAAGAAAGGACCAACCCTCTCCAATGCCCAACGCATCACCACTTTCTCCGGCCAGGAACCCCTAACCCCAAGCATGTTGGCTGCCGCCACCCCACAGCAACAGAAGCAGATGTTGGGAGAGCGTCTCCTCCCATTGATCCAACGCAGTTACGGCCAGCTGGCCGGTAGGATCACTGGTATGCTGCTGGAGATTGATAACTCCGAGTTGCTGCATATGCTGGTTTCCTACGAACTCCTCAAAGCCAAGGTGGATGAAGCTGTGAATGCTCTGAAGGCCCACCAGGCCAAGAAAGGACCAACCCTCTCCAATGCCCAACGCATCACCACTTTCTCCGGCCAGGAACCCCTAACCCCCAGCATGTTGGCTGCCGCCACCCCACAGCAACAGAAGCAGATGTTGGGAGAGCGTCTCCACCCATTGATCAAACGCAGTCACGGCCAGCTGGCCGGTAAGATCACTGGTATGCTGCTGGAGATTGATAACTCCGAGTTGCTGCATATGCTGGAGTCCTACGAACTCCTCAAAGCCAAGGTGGAAGAAGCTGTGAATGTTCTGAAGGCCCACCAGGCCAAAGACGGACCAACCCTCTCCAATGCCCAACGCATCACCACTTTCTCCGGCCAGGAACCCCTAACCTCCAGCATGTTGGCTGCCGCCACCCCACAGCAACAGAAGCAGATGTTGGGAGAGCGTCTCCACCCATTGATCAAACGCAGTCACGGCCAGCTGGCCGGTAAGATCACTGGTATGCTGCTGGAGATTGATAACTCCAAGTTGCTGCATATGCTGGAGTCCTACGAACTCCTCAAAGCCAAGGTGGAAGAAGCTGTGAATGTTCTGAAGGCCCACCAGGCCAAGGACGGACCAACCCTCTCCAATGCCCAACGCATCACCACTTTCTCCGGCCAGGAACCCCTAACCTCCAGCATGTTGGCTGCCGCCACCCCACAGCAACAGAAGCAGATGTTGGGAGAGCGTCTCCACCCATTGATCAAATGCAGTCACGGCCAGCTGGCCGGTAAGATCACTGGTATGCTGCTGGAGATTGATAACTCCGAGTTGCTGCATATGCTGGAGTCCTACGAACTCCTCAAAGCCAAGGTGGAAGAAGCTGTGAATGTTCTGAAGGCCCACCAGGCCAAGGACGGACCAACCCTCTCCAATGCCCAACGCATCACCACTTTCTCCGGCCAGGAACCCCTAACCTCCAGCATGTTGGCTGCCGCCACCCCACAGCAACAGAAGCAGATGTTGGGAGAGCGTCTCCACCCATTGATCCAACGCGGTCACGGCAAGCTGGCCGGTAAGATCACTGGTATGCTGCTGGAGATTGATAACTCCGAGTTGCTACATATGCTGGAGTCCCACGAACTCCTCAAAGCCAAGGTGGAAGAAGCTGTGTATGTTCTGAAGGCCCACCAGGCCAAGGAAGGACCCGCCAAGCAAACCATTGCTCAACAGAAGTAAAGACAGGCAGGAAGTCCAAGTACCAGATATTGGGCAGTTTCCTGTTGTTCGTAGCTCTAATAAAGCAGCCAAGAAACCTCCATTATAAAAATACACAAAAATTGTAAAAAAAAAAAGTACCCCGAAAAAATAAGAGAGTGGAAGTTACAAAATATATAGGTTTTAGTGCGTTATGTGTGTATTGTGCGGGATCTTCAATCTCGGATTCCAGGGGAAAGGGGTAGGGTTCTCTTTGATTAGCAGCCTTGATGGTTTTTAAGCCCAGGGAGGGAGAGGTGAGATTGTCCATTTGTCAAATTCTGAGTGGTAGGGTCAGCACAAACGGAAGAGCGATTATCGTAGGGGTGCTGGCCAACGTCCATTATCCTTGTCATGATTGATCTGAGCCACTCTCCCTCCATGGGCTCATGTGCTGCGGATAAGTGAATTAGCTCGTGACAAGCGATGGCACTTGTAATTGTTGTGAGACGTGATTATGCTGCAAATGATTGTGAGAAGCGACTACGCTTCAAATTGGAGGGATATCTGTAGTCCCTTCTTGAGACTTGTGAGAAGCGATTGCACTTTTAATTGTTGGGAGAAGCTACTGCGCTTATACGGTAATTGTATGGATACATCCATAGTCCATCGGGACTTGTGAGAAGCGATTGCGCTTCTAATTGCAGGGAAACCTGTAGCCTTGTATTGATTATAACTGTTAGCATTAAAGTTGTAAATTTATGCGATTATTAAACCATGCTTGTAAAAATTAGAACTATTAGCATGTAAATTGTTAAACCATGCTTGTTGGACTGTCTCAAGCGAATAGGGTCATTCCGTGTCAATTCCACACGCTTTTGGACCCGACCATCACAGAATGAAACGATATTTGGTGTGATGATTGGCCTATATGAGAAACCCCCAGAACTGAATTTTTTGGTAAATTTGCTCGTTAGTTTTTGAGATACGGGTCAACGAACTTTTGACTAATTAGCATGACCTCCGAACTTTAGATATTTGTATCTCAAACACTATAGCGCCTACAGGGCCAAGTTGTACATCACATTGAAGCTCTTTGAATGGCCTCCATTTCATAAAATAAAACCAAAATCGTAGCATGAAGCGCCGAGAAAATGCATAACGAATTGACCTTTGACCTTGAATTACGAAAATCAATATGCTTCAAATTTTGTATTTCTTTTTTCAAATATTAGTTTATGGTGCCAGCAACAATCTTAAAAAAAAAATTGGGATGGGCGCTCTTAAAGTTTTTAAGTTATGATTTTTTTAAAGATAGCTGTCCAGGAAAAACCCTAATTTGCATATATTTACGTACAAATGTATACTGCATGTGCACGTTGACCTGTACATTGCCCTTTACAGCCCAAATGTATTGCGTCCATTGTTTATGCAGCATCTTGCCACATGTACATGTAGCTCTAGATGGCATAACTATGGGGGTATAGCGGGGGGGGGGGGGAATAGCGGGGGGGGGGGGGGGGGGCGCAGAGAGAGAGGGGGGGGGGGGGGTCGGGGGCACTTGTCCCCAAGTAGATGTCCTTGCCCCAAGGTGTCTAACAGCCCTACCCCCTTCAAATCTTGAATTGGACCCAAAAAAAAATCATTTGGCCCATACATGTATCAATTGCCCAATATATTATTTTGAATTGCCTCCCTTGAAAAATGTAAGGCAACCCAGGTTCCCCCTCCCCCAGACCAGACCAGCAGTTTAACCCAACTTTCCTAGTATTGCACGCTTTGCTTTCAAAATAAGATGGGCAGGTTCTAATCACATTCAATGAACAACCAGCATGGTGACACCAAGCTCAAACTGTTCACACTAATGGGGTGGGGGGGGGGGGTGGTGGGGGTGGGGGGGGGTAGGGGAGAACCACTGGACATCCACTGGGGGACAAGTGCTCCCACCAATGACACACCCCAAAGTTACACCACTATCTAGAGCAGGCAAGATGCTGTTTATAAACCTTTGACACAAAACATTAGGGCTGTCAAATTTACAGGTCAATGTGCACTTGCTGTATGTACCGGTACAAGTACGCGTGTAAATATATGCAAATTAGGTTTTTTCCAGGACATGCTATTTTAAAAAAATCGTAACTGAAAAATTTTAAGAGCTCCCATCCCAATTTCTTTTTAAGATTATTGCTGGCACCATAAACTAACATTTGAAAAAAAAAATTACGAAATTTGAAGCATGTATTGATTTTCGAAATTCAAGGTCACGTTGACCTGTAAATTCGTTACGCATTTTCTTGGCGCTTCATGCTACGATTTTGGTTTTATTTTATGACATGGAGGCCATTCAAAGAGCTTCAATATGATGTACAACTTGGCTCTGTAGGCGCTATAGTTTTTGAGATACAAGTATTTAACGTTCGGAGGTCATGCTAATTAGTCAAAAGTTCGTTGACCGGTATCTCAAAAACTAACAAGCCAATTTACCAAAAAACCCACACCACAGTTCTTGGGGTTTCTCATATAGGCCAATCATCACACCAAATATCATTTCAATCTGTGACGGTCGGGTCCAAAAGCGTGTGGAATTGACACGGAATGACCCAATAAGGGCTGACCCAGTGACTACAGTGCTAATTCTCCGGTGTGACTCTTTCTTCCAACTCTACCAAATTTTCTAACAAATTTGAACGGGGTATCTACAGTCCAGAAATGAATCCCTTGAAGACTTCATCTCAATACGGTCAGCATCCAGTAGGAAAACAAAGACGCATGGTTTTTACCGAATGCCTCCCTAACTAAAATGTTTTCCATGTCTGGCATCACCAAACAAATTTTGACCCAAAAGTCCAACTTTACCGAATTTGTTCAAAACTTTTCGAAGGGTACCGGTACATAGAGCCCAGAAATTAATCCCCTGAAGATTTTAGCTCCCTACGGTTAGAATCCAATTACAAAACAAAGACTTATGTTTTACAGTTTTTACCAAATGCCCCCAAAACTTAAATGTTTTCCATATTCGGCATCATCAAAAAAGTCAAGTTTTGACCCCAAAATCCAACTTCACCGAATTTGCTCAAAAATTTGCAGGGGGGAATATAGAGCCTAGAAACGAATCCCTGGAAAGACTTCAGCTCGTATCCAGTGAAAAACAAAGACTGATGGTTTTAACCGAATGCCCCCTTAACTAAAAAAGTTTTCCATATCCGGCATCATCAAAAAGTATTTTTTTTACCCAAAAATCCAACTTTACCACATTTGCTAAAAGCGATTCAACGGGGAGATATCACCTCACTACAGTCAGTATCCAGAGAGAAAACAAAGACTTATGGTTCTTACCGAAAGCCCCAAACCCAGTTTTCAATTTTTGACCCAAAAATCCAACCATACGTGTACGTGATTCGCTAAAAAATTTGCACAGAGTACCTCAAGTCCAGAAATGAATCCCCTGAAGAATTCAGCTCACTATGCTCAGTATCCAGTGAGAAAACAAAGTATATGGTTCTCACAGAAAGCCCCCAAAACCAAAACGTTTTCCATATCCAGCATCATAAGAAAAGTCAATTTTTGACCCAAAAATCCAACTAAGTTATTGAATTCGCTCAAAAATCTGCACGGGGTACAAAATGTCCAAAAATTAATAGCCCGAATATTTCATCTCACTACGGTCAGTATTCAGTGAGAAAATCAAGTACAGTTTTTACCAAATGCGCCCAAAACTAACAAGTTTTCCATATCCGGCAACATCAAAAAAGTCAATTTGTGACCCAAAAATCCAACTTTACCAATTTCTTTTGCTCAAAACTTCATACAAGGAACTTGGAGGCTAAAAATGAATCCCCGGAAGATTTTAGCTCACTACGGTCGGTATCCAGTGAGAAAACAAAGATTTATAGTTTGACCCGAATGCCCCAAATCTAAAACGATTTCCATAAATCATCAAATATGACAATAATTATGTGAGGCGCTCTGGCAATATTATGAGACACAACTGGACAGAGTTCGAAAAATTCTCTAAACTTTGACGGATAATCAAAACAGACACGCAACGTATACCAGTACATGTACGTGTACATGTACATGTACGCTCATAATATTAAAGGGATGTGCGATATAAATGAGATTGATTTTTCGTGTCCGAAATATGATAAGCATACTCGATGCGTACATGTACATGTACAAGTACCTGTACATGTATGTGTTCCGGTAATGGATAAAAAAAACCTTCCCCAAAAAGAGAAATTTGAATGTATGTACAATGCATCATACTTATACCGTTACATAGCCTACATGAAATTCCCTATTAACCCTAACTCCCTAGGCCTTTTTGCTAGAAGTACATGTAGCCTCAATCGTGCAAATCCTCCAATTGGCCTCATGGAAAAATAGCATAGCCTCAATCCTGCAAATTCCTCCATTATTTCTTGAATATGGTCTGTGGAGGGGTGACCACTGCCTGAATCCTGCAAATTTATTTATGCATGGCTAAGCAAAAACAACACAAGGTCTGGCCCATGACCTTGACAAAGTGCATCCTACGAAATCAGTAACGCACTTTTGCCATGTAACGTCAATCCTCCAAATTTCACCACTTTGGCAAAGAGGGTTTTGAAGGATTCAGGGCGGTTAGGGTTAATTTTAAATTAAAACTGAAGTTTCCTTTCTTTGGGGGAAAAGCTTCTCTTTTTTTATTTTAATTTAAGTAGACAGGCATTCAACTGGGAATTGGGAAAAACGAGGAAATTCCAAACCACACCAGACTTTGTACAGTAGTTTTCAATTTGTAGTTGCATTCCTGAGAAGTTAAAAACAACAACAAGGAAACAGTGGATCCAAGGAAAAGTTGCATTCCTGGGCAGAGGAACACAAAGCAGTTAGCCTACAGATACGTGCAAAAATGTCGGTGCGATTGTCATGTGTATTCAGTGATAAACTTTTGAACTTTGGGAGATTAGCAAGAAGTGACAGCACTCACAAAGTGACCTATGAAAGCACTTTTCCATTGACAAACTTCACACTGCATTGACATATCTTTGTGCACATCACACGCGTACCATATTCATCCATAGGGTGACAAAGAGTTAACTGTCGAATCCATCATTATGACTTCACATTGGCAAAACAGACTTTGAACGGTAAGCAAAGCATTCACAGTGCAAACTGCTTGCTGTAATTTACCCTTACCCTACGTGGTGACAAAAGTAAACTCCAGTCGTTTGTAGACAGTGATGTTACCTACTTTGTAAAAGTATGGACTGACATGCAACAATGGCACATTTCATGTGTGTGTGTGGCACATGAGAATATGTACGTGACATCTGACAATACATGGGACACTATGAATGAAGGACGGATCTATGACTTTGAGAGGTTCTTTGATTATTAAAGGTGTCACTATTAACACCCCCAGTCAAGCCCATGTGATGTCATCATGATTTGATCAGCTGAAAACTTGCTGGACTCAAAACTTCATTTTGTATTGATATGGAACTTAGCTGATGCTGCCTGAACTATGCTGTCTGATCTGATGCTGTCACTATGACTACCCCCAGTCAAGTCAATGTGATGTTATGATGATTTGATCAGCTGAAAACTTGGTGGACTCAAAACTTCATTCTGTATTGATATGGAAATTTTGCTGATGCTGCCTGAACTATGTATGCTGTCTAATGCTGTCACTATGACTACCCCCAGTACAGCCAATGTGAAGTCATCATGATGTGATCAGCTGAAAACTTGGTGGACTCAAAACTTCATTTTGTATTGATATGGAAATTTTGCCGATGCTGCCTGAACTACATGTACAAGTATGTATGCTGTCTGATGCTGTCACTATGACTACCCCCAGTCAAGCCAATGTGATGTCATCATGACGTGATCAGCTGAAAACTTGGTGGACTCAAAACTTCATTCTGTGTTGATAGGGAACTTCTACCGATGCTGCCTGAACCAGTTCTTAAGTCAGGTACTGGGAATGACTCGCACTGGGCTCAACTAAAACGATTGTGATTCAGAGAGTGTGCTGTTCAGTGGAAATATGCAAATAAGCTAATCTTTTACAATGGCAGGAATAACAATCTGTCAGTCTGTCCTGGAACGGATCAGCCACAGTCACCTGGACTGCCCGATCTGCTCCAATCGTTTCAAACATCCTAAACTCCTCGACTGCCTTCACAGTTTCTGCACTGAGTGCCTGGAAGGCCTCCGCCAGACGCATGACCCGGACTCGCCAACTCTCGTTTGCCCAATCTGTCGGAAGGAGACCAGACTATCAAAGGACGGTGTGAGCGCTCTGGGAAACAATTTTTCCCTGATGGCACTGGTGGAAGAGTTCAACAGGCAAGAAGAGCTTCTAAGGGTTCTGAGGTCAAAGGTCAGATGTCAGCAATGCGACTCGATGGAGGAAGTGGTCTTCAAATGCACTGACTGTGATCACTTCATGTGTCTGAAATGCAAGGAAGTGCATGAACAGTTGGAGAACTCAGAGAATCACCGACTTGTTGCCATTTCTGATCCATCTATTGGGAAATATCCCATCGGAAAAACTCCTCAAAGACAACGTTCCGAAGAAGTCCGATGCAAGAAGCACGGAGACTTGTTCCACTTTTATTGCAACACATGCCAAGTGCTGGTCTGTACGGCCTGCACAGCTCTGGACCATCACTCTCCGGAGCACGACTTTGTGGAAGTCTCGTCGGCCGAGGAGTCCTGCAGAAAAGAACTCCAGGACTTACTCTGTCGAGTGAAACGCAGCAAGAAAGAAACCCAGGATGCCATGGATCTTACAGACATGGCTCTGTGCAAGCTGAAGGCTGCCGCCAATCAGGTGGTAACTGAGATAACGGAGGCCGCGAACCGTGAGGTGGACAAGGTTCGACAGAGGGAGGTTGCGCTGAAGAGAAGGGTAGGGCAAATTGATCAAGACAGGTCAGCTGTGTACGACAGGTCCTTTGTTGGCTACTGCGCTCAGCTACAACACGCAGACAAAACAATAACAAGAGTTTGTGAGCTTTTGGAAGGTTGTACTTCTCTGGAGTTACTGGCACAAAAACAAACCATCCAAAGTACTTTGAGGGCTGCTGCAGATAAGTACTCTCCACCAAAGCTTGATGAGCTATTCTTTGGAACTTTCAATTTTCAAAGCAAGGAGATTCCACAGAACTTTGGTCAATTTGTGTTGAGCAAATGGAAGCTCAGGGTTGAGTTTGGTGCCGGGGGAGATGTCACAACCTCATTCCAGATGGCACAAGAAGTAAGTACATTTGCTGACGGGGACATCCTCACTGCGGATGCTGATAAAAACAAAGTGACTGTGCATGATCCAAAAGGCCAATTTAAGTGCTATTTTGATGGGAAAACAGACCAGTCAGAAAAATGCCTGAAGGTTCCAAGTAGTATCTCAGTTAATCATCAGGACGATCGGCTGTTCGTTGTGGATGGTCCAGTTGTGAAGGTGTTCAACCAAGAACAAATGCACCTGTACAACTTTGCTCCATCCTTAGCAGGCGTGTGTTGTGAACACGAGGCAGGATTAAAGTCTGTGGATGATAGTAGAGACACAACGGAAAAGATAGCTGAAATATCCACCGCACGCCAGGAGGCATTGAACCTTAATACTGAACCTGAAGCAGGAACAATGGGTGCTTCAGAACCAGTGGCAGCAGTAGGATCTGAACTGGTTGCAGAAGTGGGATCCAAAGCGACTTCAGATGTCAAAACAGAGGCAGTTACAAAATATATCGCATCCTGCCTTGCTGTCGCTGATAGCTTGGTCGCACTCGGAGTTGAAACAAAGAAAGTTATATCCCTTCACAACCTGGATGGATCACCGATTCGAACTCTCCCTGCTGATCTTGTTGAAGATAACCTTGCAATCAACAAGACTAAAGAACTCATCTTCACAAATTACAGACGGTCAAGGTTGGTGTCCATGGACCTCTACGGAAACAAGGTGTTCTCTGTCGAGACGACACACAAAGGGAAGCTTGTGAAACCCATGGGGGTTTGTTGTGAGGGTCACTCTAACATTTACGTTGCCGTTCATCTGGGGCTAGGACGTGGCGAAGGTGAAATCCATCACTACGACAACGAGGGAAGGAAGGTTGGGCACATCATCCAGAGCCTGTACAACCCTCTGGGTTTGGCACTGACTCCTAGAGGAGAACTGGTTGTGGCTGATAAGAACTCTGTCAAGATCTTCCAGAAAGTCAAATGCAACACGGAGATTAGTGATTTGACTTATGTGTAGTTTAACTCTTTCGCTACGGAATTTAATTTACCTATTTTGTCCCGTTTGGACGTAATAAATCGCTGGAAATTCCGCCGAGCGTCGATGTGGACGCCGCCATCTTTAAATGTATCTCCATAAACAAACTGCTCACAATAACCTGCAGCAGACCCCGGTGAGACGGAGAGCTGCTGGCAGCGGCTCAAACTAGGGTCAGAGGTTATATGATATAAATTATGTAGGGCACACGTCATGGGGATACCCTGTTTATTCACAGCGACGTCACCGAGCCGCTGCCAGCGGCTTGCCGTACGACCTGTACAATTTGTGTGTGCCGCTGTCAGCAGCTCGCCGTAGCGAAAGAGTTAAGTTCCTTTTAGTACAATGTTAACACATTCAAATGGTGAAAGAGAAACTCTTTGATTATTAACAGTGGAGCCTGTTGGCATATGCATGACATAAATCTGGGAAAAGGAACGGAGGAAATGGTTTCTACTTCAACAATTTCCATTTTCCCATCACAGAAAATCCTTCATATTATTTAACCCACTTGAACAAAGAAATGTCTACTTTTGGTAACATGTGTCACTCGGTGAATTCCAACTGGGAATTCCTCATCAAAATTACAATTTGCTGATCTACCAGAGGGTCTTACCATTGTGTAGCTAGAGGGGTGTTTTGTCGAATGAAACCGTTGAAATTTAAAATTTTTGATTTTTTTTTTTACTTTTGTGGACAAAAAGTTTTAATTTTTTTTACCGAAGAGGTATTTGTGAATAAATGTGGGCTTGGTTGGTATTAAACACTCTGTTTAAGACTGATTGGAGTCTGGATGCTGATAATTGCCCAAGCTGAACCTTTGGCTCAGGTACTGAATTATCAGCATCCAGACTCCAACTAGTCTTAAAGGGGCACTAGGTCCTGAAATCCCCGAAAATTACATGTTTTGGATCGTTTACTTATCCTATTTCAAACATTTGGTTTAAAGGAAACCAACCTAATGTCTCACCGTTCCCGAGAATAGACGAAAAAACCTTAATTGTTTACATCGGACACGACGGAGTACGAATACACTTTTCCTGTCAGTTTCACTTTCAGTCAATGTACGTACGATATGTATGTACACATCACCGTGTTCGCGAACATTGCGCGGTGACCAATCACCAACGCACAAAATATGGTTTCTTACAACATCCGCAAAAGTCAAACACTTTACGGATGAAATCACAACTAGCCTCAAAACAGCTCAAATTTTTGGGGTCGCAAAAGTGGACCACGAAATTCTTTCACGCGCGCATAGTACAGGATTCATAAATACCTCAGACAGTTTAGCCATTCCTATTGGTCGAGAGCCCGTCACGTGGCCGGTATTAAACGGATGATAAAGACATGGCTAGCTGGTCTTAAACACTTTTCCAGTGTCACAATAAAATGTGGACTCCTAAAAATCCAGTGCCTCTTATCGTTTCATTGGTTGAACGTTCACAATCCTCACGTAGGCATGCGCAACACTACCAGGGAGTTAGAATTTTATAGTTCTAAATTCAAAACGCAACGCGCCAGGTGCGTTCTGCGCGACATCGCATAGAACATGATATGCGCGCGTCAATCTCCATAAAAGGGTTGTTTTCATCTTACTCGCCAGCTGAACACTCCATTATTTTGCAGGAGGGATGATTCAAAAAGCATAAAGTGAATTTGTTGAACAAAATCGGGATGTTTTGAACGAATTATATGATTTTTTTTTACCGAAAAGGTATTTATGAATGGGAATAAATATGTACTCCGTCGGTATTTATCACTCTGTTTAATACCACTTAGAGTCTGGGTGCTGATAATTACCCTCGCCTCCGGCTCGGGTAATTATCAGCACCCAGACTCTAAGTGGTATTAAACAGAGTGATAAAAACCTCCGGAGCACACATTTATTCCCTTAGTAACACAAAAATGCCCAGTTTTGAAAGGATATTCATGTGGATGTGTACATGTATATCCTACTTTTAAATGTTCTTTCAGATTAACATTATTTCGTTCAAAGCGCGTTTTGTAGCCCAACTGGGCTGTTCTAGGACCTAGCATACCTTTAAGCAGAGTGTACAGCTGGCTTATCAATTACCCAACACACAAAGCAAAGCTGTATCAAGTTACGGTACATAGACAGTCAAAGCCAATAAGTCCTGCTTGAAGTAGGCTGGGGATTCTTACACATAACTGTTAAAAACAGTCACTTGATTGATTTTGACTGAAAGGACAACTTGGCACAGAATGTATGTTTGCATAGTATGGTTTGTACACTTAATGCACCATGTTTGTTGAATTTCATTTTACAAACAGCCCCATTAAAGGGACACTAGGTCCTGGAACAGCCCAATTGGGCTACACAACGCACTTTGAATGAGATGATGATAATCGGAAATAACATTCAGTAGGATATAAACATCCACACAACTATCCTTTCAAAACTGGGCGTTTTTGTGTTATTCCTGTATTATGCGTGCAAAAACGAATTTCGAGGTCCACTTTTGCGACCCCATAAATTCGAGCTGTTTGGATGCTAGTTGTGATTTCATTCGTAAAGAATTCACCTTTTGCGGACGTTTTTTGCATTGGTGATTGGTCATCACTGTTCCCGAGACACACAACGTGTATATCGTACACTGAGAACGACACAAAAAACGTATTCGTACTCCGTCATGTCTGATGTAAACAAGCGGGTTTTTTCCGTCTTTTCTCGGGAACGGTAAGACATTAGGTTGGTTTCCTTTCAACCAGATGTTTGAAATAGGATAAGTAAACAATCAAAATCATAAATTTTCGGGGATTTCAGGACCTAGTGCCCCTATAATGTCATTGTATACAAACATATGTTGGAGTATGCATGTTTTCCATTATTTGGATTTCAAACATTTTGTCACAAACAATAAGATTTCAGACATTCGGAGATTCAGTGTGAAAAAAAAAATAAGTCCATGTACGGTACACGTACAATGTACACCGTACTTCTGACTGTGTTGTTGTTGTATTTTTTCATTTTTTTGTTGGTGTGTTTTTCAGCAAATGCTTTATAGCAAAGTACTTGTAGAAACATTTATTTCAATGTTGCTATTTCCACACAATAAAATGTTACAATGCCGTGTAAACATATTATACACAGAGCAAAATGCAAGGATTTTGTAATTGTACAATGTACGATGTAATTGTGTATAATAATGTACATGGATCAATACTTAAACAAATTAATGACAACATTTAGGTATAAGGTGAAGCGTCACGCTTTTTTCCCCTAACTTATCGACGGACCGAGAAAAACAGAGACAGTGACAAAGGACAAAATGGACAACAGTGAGACACACAAAGACACACACATGTTTGTTTCACATACGTAGTGTGGACTTTCCTTTCTTTTCGTGAAGTTAAGGAACACCAGTGGAAAAACTCATTTTTCTCAAACTGTGAAAACTCATTCAACCCAATTTTTTTTCTATGATTCCCTTTAGTGTTTCTTTTCATTCTGCTACGGATAAACCTAACCCCAAAATGCCTCTAAACCTGTTTTCCAGAAATGGGGAAACAAAGTGTGGACGTGGGCAAGTCCTTTTTTTCCCGTCCCTGTTACATCTGACATCTATGATTGTATAATTGTGATGCACTCTTTAATGCAGTCATCCTCATTCATAAGAGTGATTATGAATGGCAAACTACCTACCCAACAAATAAACAATCATTTGAAGTCATTCTTAATGATGCTTGAATGGCAAATTACAAAGTATCAAGGTAACAGGGACGGGAAAAATGTCACACTTTGGACCCCAAATTTATAGAATGACCCAAATACACATGTACGGTAGGTTTATGCTACTAACCTTAGTACAAAGAAACATGAACATGACTTGAACTACATAATTATTACAACAAGTGACTTGCTTACCTTGATATGTCAGCTTTGAATCTTTGAAGAGTCTATCGATTGTCTGATGCATGGACTGGACTGCTGTCAGCTGGAAGTCCTCCTGCCTGGCTTTGTTTAACACGAACACTGCCAATGATATCGATAAAGAAAAGGGCTCAACGTCATCACTCTGCTACCATGAAACTTTGAAGAGCACTTTGAACAGGTGGTGTCTCCAGCTGAAGACCTATTCACCTTTAGAAATTGCCTTGTGGAGACCTTCACAATCTTTTGTTCCTTATTATACCCTGGTCCTCACAAGGCATCATTTTTTGAAAAATCCCACACACCCCCTGCTCCCCCCCCCCCTCCAAAACAACCCCTAAAATTTGGGACTGAGGGGTGACCAGAATAAATTTCTGCCTACCTTCCAGCACAGAGGGTCTGTCGGCAAATTTGCTTGTCAACCATCCACCCCCACCCCAACCCCGACACCAGCCAGCCCCCCCCCCCCCCCCACCACCACCAAAAAAAAATAAAAAATTGATCTGGTTATGCCTCTGCATATGAGATGTATTACTAGGGCTGTCCTGAATACAAATTATTTGAAAATTCGATCATCGACCGAATATTTGAATAGCTTTTTGCCAGTTGGAATATTCAAAACAAAACAAAAAAATACACACACGGCTGTCTATTATATGTGAGGAAGGCGTTCTGGCAAAATGAGACAGAACTGGGCAGAGTTCAAAACAAGAGTTTGTGGGTATTAGGAAAGAGAATACAATTCTGCTTTCAGTGCTTTTTGTTGCACTTCACTCGGACATTCCGTTGACAAGTTATGGACATTTAAAGTTTGCATTTGTCAACATATCAAAAAAGTAAAATATTGAGAAAAAGGCCTTCAAAGTTTTGACAGTTTTGTAAGATGAGATTTGAAGGTTTGCATGGTGGAAAGATACTAAGACAAGATAAGTTTTGCGGTAGCACCATGTGAATAAATCTCTTTTGTGAGTATGTGTGGTTCTGAAAAAAACCGGAGGGACTCAACATTTCGAACAGTACGCTCTGCCCGTCGTATGCACTGACACGCTCCAGTGATCACCCAGCATCCCTCAGTCATCTTGCATCTTTCTCAGCTTCACCGGTTTCGAGCTTCACCAGTTTGCATCCTTCTCACGCCTCACCGCACCCATCCTTATAACATCGCATCATCGTTGGAATCCCTCATTCTCCTGACGACGGGCAGAGCAAACTGTTCGAAACGTTGAGTCCCTCCGGTTCTTTTCAGAACTACGCATACTCACAAAAGAGATTTATTCACATGGTGCTATCGCAAATGTATCTTGTCTTAGACAGTTTTGTAGTAGTGAATATGAAAGATGCCTTTTTTTTTTTAATATTCGAAACTCGCCTAACAGGTTTTACATGCGCCACCTGCAGCTGTGTACCGCGCTGGTCAAAAGTGGCACGCAAAGTGTGCCGGTTAAAATTATGGGCCGCTAGAGTGTTTTTCAGTATTACCGCGAATAACAATAACAATTTACCCCTGTCAACAACAATAAATACCATCGGACATCTGACAACAAAGTGGCATCTGACAATAAAGCACTGCAACTTTATGATTAACATAAAATCACAGTGTGTGTAATTTTTTTTTTTTTTTTCGAATATTCTGACCCACAAAAAGCTATTTAAATATTCGGTTATGATCGAATTTTCAACCATTTTATCACTCTCTCCCCTATAAGTAATATCTCTTCTAGCCTTTTTTGAGGCTGGCTGCACTCACCGAGGTTTGGAAAGAAGTCTTCCGTGTCCTCGTTGTTCGCCCCCTCCATTGCCGGATTTGGGGTTGGGGGCTTCAACATCTCGGCCCGTTTGATGAACTCGATGAGGTTCATGTCCAGGAACCAGTCTTGGACGACGAGCACCACGTGGCAGACCGTGAAGAGGAAGGCCGCCAGCTGAAGAGACTGTAAAGGGGAGTGAGAAAAGTTGCTCAAGTTTAACATAACTTTTGTTTGATCTCGAACCCAAGCAATGTAATATTTTTAATGCAATCCTTGAAAAGCACCGTTAAGTCCCATTTAACATTATTTTCAATTTTTGTTTGGCATTTCGAAGGGTATTCTAATGCCTATTTCCATATTCATTTAAGCAAGCTGTGATGTCATTCCAGGCAGAAACCTCAATGTCACAGCTATTTCAGCACAAAAAGTTGCCAGAATTTTGGATAATTTGCTGTCGTAAATTTTCTTTTCTTTGGTGATTTGTTGTAAGCCAATGAGCAAACCTTTCTCACAAATGTTTTCAATGAGCAAATTTTGAGGTCACAATTCGAACAGAAAACTCCTCAGCTTAGACACTGTCTTCCTGAAATGACATCACAGCATCAGCACCCTCAGTTGTCCAGAAAAGCACTGAAAATTTCAAATGTTTGAAGAAGGGCACTTTTCAATAAAATTAAACAGGTGTCAAATAGTTTCATACATTAAAAAGAGGAGTAGAAAGTTGCACAAAATGTGTTTGTCAGAAATATTAATGGCATGGACCCCTTAAATTGTAAAAGCTCACCAGTTCAGAACATTTTTATGCAACAAATCTCAAAGTATTGTGGGGAGTGTGGCCTAGTGGTTAGGGTTCGTGACTCATGATCAGAGGGTCAGGGGTTCGAATCCAGCCACTGGCCATATGTTGTGTCCTTGGGCAAGCCACTTCACCCCCACTTGCCTCTCTCCACCCAGGAGTATAAATGGATACCGGCATTAGCTGGGGAGTAACCTGCGATGGACTTGCATCCCATCCAGGGGGACTAGACATATTTTCAGTCGTTTCATGCCACTGAAACCGGAGATAAATGCCAGCCTGATGGGCCATAATCACTGATCTCTATATAAAGACTGGATAGCGGATATCCATACACCAGTCACACAGTAGACTTTACATATTGACCAATTCGCTCCCGGTCTCACGAAGATGGCCACATAAAATACGAACGTTCTACGCGTATATACCGTACAGCGCGCACTGTATCAAGAGTTGACGCGCATTTTGGTCACGTACATGTATTATGATGTTCTAAAAAGGACACATTTCCGCAGTGATCATTATTTCCAAAACGCCGAAAAAGTGAACTGCGGCATTAAAACAAAGAGTAAACTACGATGTTAGAAAAATTGTAAACCGTGGTCATGGTGGTGGTCAAAATAAAATTCAAGTGAACCACGATGGTAATCATGCTGTCTATAAAGACGGCAACTTGTCCTTTGTAGATCACCAGCCGGTCTCACTGGTCTCACCAATATGGCGTCAAATTCATTCATTGTGCAGCTCTTTATCCGCTATCCAGTCTTTATATAGAGATCAGTGGCCATAATGGCTCGTGACAGACTTTGCTTTTTCTTTCAAAAGTATAATGACCTTATGGGCTTCACAGAATACATCATCCCATGTACCCTGGTTACTTCACATTATTGGTAAAATACGGCATTTGCAAACATCAAAACAAACCACCAAATTATTATGAAATATCTTACTTGACTGTAATTGAATGATAGTCTCAAGCATCCTGTGAAATCATGGCACCTGGTGTGCTGTCATTTTCAAGAAAGGTGGATTTTTTCTATCAATTTCCAAAGATGGTCGCCACACCATCGTTGGAATATTTAAATACTGTCCCAAATTTACCAAATTTAGTTAGTCCACATTTTGTTTGCAAATGGCTACACATCCTACAATGGGGCAAGCCAGATAGTCTGGCTCCGTGACCTGACAATTCCCTAATGTCTATAAATTGCTCCGTTTAATCTAAAGGGGGGAAAGAGAACCAGACTACAAAAAGATTTTTTTTTGTTTTTGTTTTTGTTTTTCTTGCATCTATGAACACAAAATTTTAAAAAGGTCAGTGTAACGATATTTGCTGAAAAAATACTAACCCCAAAATCTGTCCATTCCTTAAAATTACAGCAAAAGCAAATGTTGTACTTAAAAGCACTAGTTACCTGAATCTCGTTGCAAATTTCGGCAGAGGTCATGTCTGGAGGCAGACTCTTCTCGTGACTCAGCAGATGGTCCATGACTGAGGAGCTGAGTACCGGTTGTGCATCCAACACCAGGACCCGTTCACCGGTGACAAAGAGATCGATGCCCATGGTCTGGTGCAAAGACTGGTTCCGGTTCTCTTTGGTTTGCGGCTTGAAAATATATGAGCTGCATTGTCAGAAAAAAAAACATTATTTTTGTCAATAACAAAGTTGACAGAGGCTTTTGACTTTACAAACACCGAGAATTGGAGCAACATGTGTTCAGAGTTTTTACATTTTTAATTCTAATACAGTAAACTCCGGCTAAGTCGGCACTCTCGGGACCTGAGAAATTGTGATGGCTTACATGAATGCCGACATCTGCTGTAAGTCGTCATTTTGCAGACTTACATGAATGTCCTTTTGCACATATGATTCATTGCACTAATTGGCTTCGATTTACCCTGGTTTATCTCCTTAATGCTTGAGTTGAATCCAGCAAATTAATCCTCGAATTGTATCATCACTTTTGGGGTATTGATGGTGGAGACCATTATGTACGTGCACAGTAACAAATTAAATGCGTGTGTGGTCCGGTATATACCACGCACACATTGACTGCAGCACTAGTCATTCAATAAGACGACCCCCAAAATGGACAGAGCGCATGCGTATATATATACTAGAAGGGGTACTGGTATTGATATGCTCACGATGCATATGCGACATATGCAGTAGGACAACCTTTTTCGACACCGATGCATGCAGCGATCACGGGCCGTGCCAAACTACTTTTCACTCGACACTTCTTGGAAACCGCAGTACAGAAAGTCGATGCCAATGCCTGATTTGTTGAATGCCGACTTACGCAAAGGATTTTGTAATGCTTTTTAGGAAAAGGGGACCCACAGTAACATGACGACTTGAGCAAAATGGCGACTTACATGTATAAAAGCCGACTTAGAAATAAAAAATTCAATGGAAATGCATTACGGACAATTGGGACTTTATTCAGACGGCCGACTTGAGCAATTTGACGAGTTGTATGTTGTCAGTTTGGCCGGAGTTTACTGTACATTCTATCAAAATTGATTGATAACAATTTCAAACCAGGGCCAAACCGAAGTTCGTTGGGACCAAGTCTGACACCTATTAGAGTGTAGCTGATCTTCCTGAAGCCAAGCTTTCCCAAGACGAGAGACCACTCAGAGCGACGTCAAGGCTTAGGGAGCAGGTCCGTATTGGAGGAAATAAACCGCCGATTATGATGATTGTGATTACCCTCTGTTTAATAATCGCACAATTAAACCAACAACAAGTACACCTGGACAACAGGATTGTCGGCACAACAAATTTGATGCGATCCAGGTAAATGAGTCGGCCGTGGTCAATTTCATTTTTTTTTACAAATTTGAAAAGAGCACAATCTCAGCATTACTGCTGTGAAAACCGCATGCTGATACATCGTTACTCATTAAGCTTGATCGCATAACAAAATATGATTAGAATTTATTACACAATAATCAAGGAATATATGATTGAGTCTTTAATGTGGTTGTTAATGATCAGGGTCACTTAATTACACTTGGGAGACAACTTACAGTTCACATTTAAGGTTACAGACCAGTAAATAAACTTCCATAGACCCCAATGGTAAATACTCCCACTTCAGAAATTCGGAAAAAATCCGATCACGTGTCATGCCACAAACACACAAGTACAGCGATGTACGCCGCGCAGGCTTAGTACATGTACATGAGTGATGTACCCCACAGGGTACATCACCTGTTTCTTTCCCGTTGTTGAAAATGTCATTTCCACCGCGTTGTGTTATATTTGTGTGACCTCGGGTACGAGATTGTAACTACGCTGGTACTACGTAAATCGATGTATGTTTTATTATGAGATGTGCCATGGGGGCAGTGAAGCAATATTTCTGCTATGACCGCCATTGTTTACATCATTCGTCACTGTTCGTCTGCTTTTTTTAACTGTGCAAATTTCCCCGTCATTTCACCTTAATAATGTCGGCAGATGACAACAGGTCACCTCCAAAGAAGAGGTTTCTCTCTTGATCCAAAGACGAGATCAGAAATTTGACAGCATCAGCACGAAGAAAAATTAGAAAAATTATGTGCAAAAAGTTTGCCAATTCTGTACCGCAACAGCCTAGACCCACAGGTTTGGACGTTAGTAATCTATTACCGTGGCATTAACCCTTTCATGCCCACATTGTTTATTGACTTGGCTCTACCCAGGACCAAATTGTTTGCTCAGTCATGCGGAAATCACTAGAGCGTGAAAAAAATGAGCACGAGTCAAAAACTCACTTTTTTCAACCCAGATTTTCACTGCCAAGGAGTGATTAAAATCATAGGTGTTGTGTGTAAAGTTTGTTCTTTGAACCTTACTCTTTTATGTGATGCAAAAATGCAGTCCATGTGTGCAAATATAAGAAAGTTATGCCTTTTTGTTCATCTGGTCCCAATTATCAAACTGCAAGCCATTTCACCACATGACCAAATGGCACTCCATACCTCACATTGTGCGTGGATACTTCTGAAGCACTTTTCTCACTTTTTTGTAATGGTAACACTATGAATAAACCACACCAATAGAAAGATCCAAAAACACTCTTTCAGCTGGTATATAGTTGATGTATGGGCGGCCAAACACATCAACATGCCGCCTTTCTGAAAAGCAGTGAATATCTGTGTTGAGGGTGTTTTGTGTGTGGTTTCCTGGTCGACTAAAGTCGCCCATGGGAACCAGCAGGGGGGTACCTCTTGTCGACAAAAGTCGCCCATGGTAAGGAAAGGGTTAACAAAACAATTGTTGCTGTGACGGGGTCCATGGTGTTTTGTACACCTAAGGGGGTGCCCCCTCAGGTGTACAAAATACCATGGACCATGCCACAGCAGGCAACAACTGCATGTTGCCCAAGTGTGCAGTGGGCGGGGCTGAATGAAGCAGTCAATTTGCTAATGCTGACAACAAAAAATGAAAAGAATTCATTTCCCACTGTTGTTCGGGCTCAAGGGATAACCAACTCACCCCTGTTGGTCACTTGGTTTGTTGCCAGCCAGCATGGACATCAATGTTGATTTCCCACTGCCCTGCAGGCCCAGCACGCCCACCACCAGGAAGTCTGTGTGGTCCAGCATCATCTGAACAGAAAAATGGTAGTTGAATATTATAATATTTGTTGTCAAAAGCATTTACTCCTTTCATTTCATAACTCGTTTAGTCGTTGCACCATCTCTGTGCGCAAGCTCCCCTCAATGGTGCCAAAGACTAAGGCAGACTATATAAACACCATTGCTCCAGATGTGAAGACACTACAGCTTTGTGTAAATTCAAATAACAAGTGATCTTAGGTAACCCCCCCCCCCCCCCCCCCCCCCCCCCGGTGGTTAAAAAAAAAGGACACCCACTTTTGACAGCAATTTTCACCTACTTAATGAACTTATTTTAAATATTTTTTCACGTAGTAGTAAAGTATAGGCCTTTAACTACCGGTATGCATGGTTAAAAAGGTTAATAAAAGTCCCCAAAATAGTGATATTATGCTATAAATTTGAATACAAGTCACCAATATCAGTCTTGTCCGCAGGTTATTGTATGTACCTTGGACGTTTTCGTAGTTCATAAAAATGAAAAAACCTTCCCACCAAAATATATTTTGCCCTGGTAACTTTTACTGAAGCTGTCCAATTATTTGTGTCAGTGTTAAGATCATCTACTCAATGAGCTGTTGGCTTAAGTTCATTGTTGCATAACATGACCTAACATAACAATCAAATGTCATGCCCTTTCAAATAAAGCTCCGATAGCTGAGCTCAGTCAAGCGAAGGGAAGTATACCTCCGTGGACAAACAGGTTTCGCACATGAAATGTTCAAATTAGCATAGCTCAACGGCAAAATGTGCAAATGCAACGATTTTTTCGCCACATTTGCTTAAAGGCCAGTACTTTAATAGCTACTAACCGACAGTTAAATTATATAATTTTTAAAAATAGGTGAAAATTGCTGTCAAATGTGGGTGTTCTTTTATTTTAACCACCCTGTACAAGCAGGCCATGTGCAAAAAGCGCACTCAGATGCGCGGCTTCTCTTCCCCTCTTCCCTCCCCCCTTTTTTTTTGGGGGGGGGGTTGTTATGGGGTTTCAACCCCCCCCCCCCCCCCCCCCCCCCCATTTAGTGCTAGGAGATAACATGCTACAAACATAGCTAGAGGGGTGTATCAAAAAACATGAAGTAAAATTGTTGAACAAAATCATTGGAAAAAGTTTTTACTTGTGTTGACTTTTTGACTGAAAGGTATTTACGAATGGAATAAATATGTGCTTGGCCAGTATTTAACAAGTACATTTAAAACCAGCTTAGGGCCTGGTCGCCGATAACGGTATCCGCGTCCAGGCCTCAAGCTGGTTTTGAACGTACCGGTACTTGTTTAAAACTGGCCAAGCACATATTTATTCCCTTATTTAACCGGTTCACGTCGGATGACGTGTACACACGCAATGAGCGAGGCCGGAAATATCTGTCTGCGACCCGCTCGCAGCGAGCGAGGGCAAATCCGCCTGGCATTGAGGTTCGTGAAAAACAATCCCGCGCTTAGGTCCGGTCAATGTCAACAAAAAGTTTTAAGGACTGTTTTTATGAAGTAATTTGACTGGTTGCGCTAGCTGATTTTGTCCAATAAACTTTTGTGTTCAATGGACCTTTCCTGCATGTCAATCAAACCGTGCGCATTGACCAACAAGAACATGACTTTTGATCAGGTGACGAGGGTAGATTTGTCAAACTCTGTCACGACTACTGTGAGAAATGTGTACCCACCAAGGTGAGCGGGTTCGTATGGCCGAATCCAGAACCACTCAATTCACCAGTTGATTACAGCAAACATATACATGTATGTGTCACCACAAAATGAACTTCAAGTCAGACATTGCCATTTTGCAGTACAGTAGGGCAAAGCCAAAAATTTTAAGGGGTGGTCAATTTGTTTTGTTTCCAGATGAACCTTGATTTACCATTCTCCATTTTTTTGGTTCTGTCAAACATCTTTAAAACCTACTTTTTATCCCGTTTTATTAGTTGACTGTTCATTCACTGTAACACAACTGCAAGATGTTTCAATGCCAATTTCTGGAGAATCAGTTTTACAGCTTCAAGTAAGTTGCTGGTCTATATTTCCGTTCCTGAACTCAGTACAGTGGAACGTCGCTTTACCGAACACCGCTATACCAAACATTCGGCTATACCAAACATTGTGGTTGGCTCCGGATTTTTTTGTACAAAACGTACCGAACATTGTTCTTGAAAAATGTCATCAGAAGAGCAACAAGTGGCTATTATTTCCCGGAGGGATAGAAGGGGAAAGCCACCCACTGCTGTAGGTAGTAAGCTTAAAAACTGTGTAATGACATAATTCAATAGTCGGCACATGTTCAAAGTCGTCTCTCAATAACTATAAGTACCAGGACGTGCAAGGTGAAGTTCTGAAGGGCGCTATTTATTGAAAAGTGAATACCAGAGCACCGGCGGCTAATAAAATCGTTTTACAGAACGATCGATATTACAAACAATTTCTGTGGATCCTGCGATGATCGTTATAGCGGCGTTCCACTGTATCCCTAAACGTTATATACCATTGGAAAGCTTTTGTTCTGCAGAATCCAAATAAATAAATGTCTCAAAAAAATAATCTGACTTTAAGCTCATTTTGTGATGACAGGTCACACATGTGCCTACCTCCATTCCATTGTCACACCACTGAAAACTGTTGTCCACAAGTCGAACGCTCTGTTTCATCTCGGGGGGTGCAGTCAATCTATTGTGAACAGGGACTGTTGGACAAATTTGGGAAATTGAATGGTTTCACGAAGTGTAAAAGAGTTTGTATTATTGAATTGACTGTTTAATTAAGAGAGACTTTAACAAACAACTGTGAATTAGCAACGAAAGAAGCATACATTACCTGACAATGCAAACATTTCCCAAAATCTGTAACTACAAACTGGTCGAAAATGTGTTTTGAAAAAAGGAGTAACTTCAAAATGCAATATTTCGGGATGACCTTGTTTGCAGGATATAGAGGTTTTTGTCACTTTGTGGAAACACCGTCAATACTTACAAAACCCTGTCCTCATTTTGCATGTTAACTGCTTTCCTCATGAACACAATTTCAAAAAAAAAATACCGTAATTACTGGCATTTAAACAGTCACAGACAGTCGAAATTCACTTCCACTTCCCCTGCTATACTTTTAACAAAGACTAGTCACCAGCAGTCAGATCATATGTCAAGCAAGCACAGTGACTAGTCAAACTGGGTCAACAGACAGAGCAGGCAAGTTGTGGTCACAGCTGTTTTATCACTCACCCAGAGTCAAAGCAAAGCTGTATCAAGTTACTTAAACAATCCCAGCCAGTCAATCCTGCTTTACGTAGGCTGGGAATTTTTAACTGTTGAAAACAGTCACTTGATTGATTCTGACTCAGCCTCGACTCCAGGGGCGCATGCTCGCTCCTTACACTAACCCCTGGCTGTGATGATGATGTAAATGACACTGAATGGCTATTCACAGTGTACTGTGCGGGCATTTCGAAGATTGCACGCCGGGCGCGCCCATAATGCGCTCGCGTGCTTAGCTTTGCACGTAACGTCATGTACGAAAAAAAAAATTATGATTCAAAAGTCGCGAAGCCTGTACGATATGGATTATGTCAGCTGCGTTTTTCGCCAAAAAAACCCCCTGTATCTGTGGTTGTAAAGGCACGAAAGGGGTACATACATTTGATACAAATCTTTGCTAATTAACACAACGTCCAAACGCTGTGTTTGAAAGGATTGATTCTTCAAAATCACAACTTTTAACATTTTAAAGATGGCGTCGGCACGTAAAACGGATAAACTGCAGCCCTAATTATAATGTACCGTATTTTGGTATATTTAAATTACACAATTCCAGGGGTTACGATCGCGCAAGGCATGATGGGAAACAACATGGCGCTGCAAGATCGTACCCACGGGGCACGAGGTTGATTTTGACTGAAAGGACTACTTGGTACAGAATGTATGTTTGCATGGGAGGGTTTATCAAAAGCAATCTGGAAACTTACCTTCAATGGTGATTGAATGGGCTGTCCCCGATGGTGCCAGTGGTCTGGTACTCTGACTCACAACCTGGGGCTGATTGTGATGAGAGCCGCTGCCGCCAGACTGCCCCGCCTCGGTCATGGGGGAAGATCCGTACAAGGCCACGGTGGCCGGGGACTGGTAAAGCGCTTGGTTCGCCGTGGAGGCAGCACTCCCTGCAGCCACGGTAGGAATGGGTCGGCTGGGGGTGGATTCGCTCTGACGGGTGATGATTTTGAACTGGGGCGTGGACTTGGGGGCTTCCCCCGCTTGATGAGTCGAGGGAGTGGCACCCCCTGGTTCGGGCGAGGAGCCGTACAGCTCTTGTTTACCCTGAAAGTTAAGAGACAACACCTCGTAGAAAGAAGGAGGCAGCTCATGGATACAACCAAAATCCCTGGTCTCTAAAATTCACATTCCTCCCCAGTTATGTTTTGCAAACCCGACCAAAAACCAAAACCTACCCGACCAACAGCCGAATTCCGGATTGCAAAAAGCTATTAAACCTCAGGCATCAAGTTTCTGGGTTGTTTGTTCTGTCCGACATCTGATGTCTAAGCATGCACATTTATGCAATCCCGTTCGCCAGCCAATTGGATTCGTCATGACGTCATTTCATTCCAAAATTCGGACTAAGCTGTTGATTGGTCAATTCGGATGTCATGTTTTTGTGATACAACAAAAGGCATAAAGATCTAATAAAACCTAGACACGACATTGGCTCTCAAAACAGAGTTAGCAAAATGTTGCGGGTATAGAATACGCTCATTGTGGTCGCGATATTGCGCGCAAGAGGGCGTTTGAATGTTATTTAAAATATGTGATGCGATCAGGCTAAATGAGTCGTTTGTTGGGAATTTTCATTTGCAGATTCAGGCCAAAGGTAGGGCCACTTCATCACATCACTTCATCACATCTCTTGGTGTTCCGACTTCCATAATTTTTGAACTAAAGATGGTATCAGCATCCGGTTTTCACAGCAGTAATGCTGAGATTGTGCTCTTTTGAAATCTGTAATAATTTTTTTTTTTTTGACCAGGGTCGACAAACGACTCTTTTAGCTTGATCGCATCACATGTGATTCGATTGTGATGATCATTCAAAGCCACAGGATGTTTGCGCATCGTGTGACAAAATTTTGGGGGGGCTCAATTCACAACGTAAAAACATAATCTAAGTGTCTAGGTTTTATTAAATGTCCATGACAACTGGTTACTGAAGGCACCCGTCAAGATGCAGTCTTGTTTTGCATAATTCGTCATCGGCACAACGAACTGACACTCACACGCAAGTGGGTGTTAGTTCGTCAAAACCACGTAATCAACAATTTCGGCTTCACAACCTGACATCCAGTAGTGCGCATGCACATCAGACACTGACGCGAAAATTGGAAGATTTTCGATTTTACGAACTGACACCTAAGCATGATGCGGCAATACAGAACGGAGAAAAATGGTTTGAAAGGTTTTACACAAATTTAATTCATCCGCATACATGTGCTTGTGTGCTTACACAAAAATGTAATTAAAACCGTTTTAATTGGTGAAATTAAGGTCAGTGTCAGTTCATGAAACCGAAAATGTACGGGATGCGCTCTACAAATGCCGCACTGTGGAGGATGTCAGCTTGCAAAACCCAACATATCCCGGTTCTGTAAAATAAGTGCGCGTGCAGCACACTCACGCGCAACTGAGTGTCAGTTTGTGGTGCTGATGACGGATTTATCACCAAATCTGCTCGCATATCATGGACCAAGTACTGCGCACGGTGATATTCCATAGACTAGGTTGTTTGTAGTGGTTTACTGCAAATTGATTCGGGTAAAATATTTTACCGATGAAGACATGGACAGGTACCTGTGACTGAGACGCGGAGGACTTGGCAAGGATGATGGTTGGCTTGCTGAGCTGAGGTGAGCTGAAGTCATCTCGGGACTCTTCCTGTGTCTACAAAGCAACAATTGGTATTAACGTCAGAACGTGTGAGTCGTTTGTCAACCCCGGTCAATTTTTTTTTTTTTACAGTTTTGAAAAGAGCACAATCTCAGCATTACTGCTGTGAAAACCGCATGCTGGTACCATTTTTGGTTCAAAAATTTGGAAGTCGGAAAATTTCCAAGAGATGTGATGAAGTGATGTGATAAAGTGGCCCTATTTTGGCCTGAATCTCCAAATGAAAGTTGCCGACAAACGACTCATTTATCATCACTACTTCAGTGTTGTGTGAATTGGAGAACTTGCCAATGGGGCGATCAGAGTCTATCATCACTAGTCTTTGCAATGTCCATCTACAGCCACAGGGCATACTCTTCTTATTGTTCATCCCCTGTTACTTGCAACTGGAAATTGTGAATGGACTTGCAACTGGACCAGGCCCCCCTCCCACCGGCAAAACACGTTTAAGTGTAAAAATACATATATATAGTGAACTGTGTTTTTTCTTGTGGTGTGCCCCCCTAGTTTGTACTGCGCCCCCACCCCCCAAATGCCTGGAGCTGGCCACAGTGCTGGGCTTGTAATGGACTTGTGATGGACATGTGATGGAATTGTGACAGAACTGTGATGGACTTTTGATGCACCTTTTGATGTACTTGTGACCAGACTTGTGACCGGACTTGCGACCGGACTTGCGACCGGACTTGCGACCGGACTTGCGACCGGACTTGCGACCGGACTTGCGACCGGACTTGCGACCGGACTTGCGACCGGACTTGCGACCGGACTTGCGACCGGACTTGCGACCAGACTTGCGACCAGACTTGCGACCAGACTTGCGACCAGACTTGCGACCAGACTTGCGACCAGACTTGCGACCAGACTTGTGACCAGACTTGTGACAAGACTTGTGACCAGACTTGTGGACCTGGGATGACTTGTAGATTTGTGACTGGACTTGTGACTGGACTTGTGACCAGACTTGTGACTGGACTTGTGACTGGACTTGTGACCAGACTTGTGACCAGACTTGTGACCAGACTTGTGACCAGACTTGTGACCAGACTTGTGGACCTGGGATGACTTGTAGATTTGTGACTGGACTTGTGACCAGAATTGTGATGGAGTCATCTAAAACAATGCATTAGACACCACACTATATAACCTCCCCCAACACCCCATAAACTGAAATTGCCCCAATTTGCCTAGAGTAATATTTCCACATTTAAGAGGAAATTTTTCTAACACCACATGTACTTTGTGCACAAGCAACATTTTTTTTAACTGTGCAAAAGAACTCACCTTTGACCTTACGCGTCTTCTCCTCCGTCGCCCCCCTCCATTATGTCCCCCACCACTAGCTCCGCCCACTGGACCAGTCCCTCCTTTTGAAGACATATCCGGCAGGCTCTAATAACACTGCAATATTTAGAATCTGAAAAAAAATATATTGATGGCATATTCATTATTCACAACATGTTATTAATTACACATTACTATCTGCATGATCTCATGCAGTTGGGCAATTCTAGCTCTATAGTCGTGTTCCCTAACGTGGCGCACTTCGAAGCTTACCCGACTTTCCTCGTGTAGTGTTGTCAAACCTCTTTGTTGACAAACCTCAAATTCATGCAGTAAAATACTGGTACTTTGACCTTATTAATGCTTGCTATTTAACTCTGTGAGCAATTTCGGTTTCATGAAATTTAATCCGAAATTCAAAAACGGTGGCGTCCGGAAATTGGGCACAAATTGACGGGGTGTTCCCTAACGTGGCGCACTTGCATAAATCTCGGAAAATTCGTAATTAACATTGAAGAATTTCTGTAAACTTGATAAATTCTGATAAATAATTAATATCTCTACTTACATACCCAGCCAGATGTTTGTCAGAAAATTATTTTCTTGTTTTTCGGGGCATTTTCAAAGGGTTCACTTTGCACTTGAATATAAAATCGGAAAATCACGCCAAAATAAATTTTGCTTCTAACTTTGTTACGGGTAAATAAACTCCCGATTTATAAATGGGAGTGTTTAGAACTTGATGAAATTTCACTTTCTGTGAAATTTCAGTTAAAACTTTTGCTCTAGGTAAGCACTACAGGTGAAAAATCAAAGTGCGCCACGTTGGGGGCCGCGCCACGTTAGGGTACATCAACAATACCAAGTGGAGCGCTGGAACTTCGGTACCCCCTGTACTAGCGCTCCACCGAATCGGCAAACTTTGACTACACTTTTTGCACGAAACAGTCATTGATTCAGCGCGACTTGTTTTTCTTCGACAGTGATGTCACACACGTGCTCAATGATCAGCAATGAAATGGATGGCACAACTAAGCAGACACATTTAACTGCGAGCGGTAAGTTAATCAGAATTTTTTTCTTTTTTTCAAATTATCGCTTATTGGGAACGATTTAAGGGGTCTTATATAATGTCATGAATGTGTCGGTCTATCCAGGGTAACTGTCTTTCTCATTTGTTTTCTCTTTACTAGTTTTTGGGGGCCTTTTGTCCTCGAGGGTATGCAAAAAAATGCATACCGTGTGTCAGGGATATAAATGTGTTGTCAAAGTATGCCGATTCGCAGACAGGGCTCTGGAGTGCTCTTAAACGTGCAAAACTAAATCAGGCCCACTTTACTCACAGTTTAGCCAGCACATTTCTCCAAAAATTCCACTGGGGCAAAGAAAATATCCTCAGTAATTCACCAACCAAGTTTGCAGACTGAATTCAATTTTTAAAGGAGACTTTTTTCAGTATTTTGCACATGAGAGGGAAGTCAAGTGATTTCAAAATGGAGCTAAATACTAGACTGGTACATGTCCAACCATGGCCCAACTATTTGAAAAGTCTGACCTCTTCATTCAGAGTCACAATAGTCTGGTGGCTGACTATGGAGAAATGTGTATTAAATTGAGACTAGTTCCCGCTTCATGCCAAATGTTTCTTAAATTCTTTTGGCATGGTTGATTGATGCAGTACTGAAGCTGTGTTGGACTGGTTGTTTTAGGTGCCAGTCTATTTTCTTGTTTTGCATGTTTTTAATACCTTAAGTTTTGGGACTTTCATCATACACAGTATTGAGAGTCCCATATTTTCGGACTAGCCGATTCGGTGGAGCGCTAGTACGGAGGGTACCAAAGTTCCAGCGCTCAGTAGAGCTAGGGCAATTCCACACAAAAGTGGACGCAGACAAAAAGTGGAAAAGTTATTAAATCTTCAGAAAGATAGTAAAGTCTGTCACGAGCCAATGTGGCCCATCAGGCCAGCATTTATATCCGGTTTCAGTAGCATGAAACGGGATGCTAGTCCATCACAGGTTACTCCCCAGCATTTTTAATAAGAGACAAATTTCACCACAACTTAAGGAAGCACAGGGAAGTCCTAATTTTGGGCAAGTATTGAGAGGTAAGGGGAAGTGAACCCGCATGCCGAGTACCAGTCCGAATGATTTCCATGATTTTTTTATTTTTCTTCTCCAAATTACCAACCTTCTGCGCGAACGTACATTTGGCCCAGCATGCAGAGTCTACTCCAGTGTAGCCTTTCGCCAAGGCCATCGTGGCTTAAAGAAGCAAAGCTGCAAGCGACTGGAGCGAAGACTAATTCAGCGAGCCCGAGTGGTGAAGCCACGAGGCCTTTTCTAACTTGATTTTGATCGAAAAGATCTTTGAGTATCAAGCTTACATTTTCCTTTTCAAAATGCACTTCGTCAGAATTTTTTTTATTGGAGACTAATCCAAAAGAAGTTGGTTTTTATTTGAAGCGATCCGGAACTAGGATTCTGTCAGAATCCAGTAGGAAAAATCCGGAACTAGGAAAACGACTGTACATGTACACGCGCGTGGTTGTCCAAGATCATAGCGACTTAACTGTTTCAAGTGTTTGTAATGTTCCCGTCCCGTGTTTCAACAGATTGGTAAATGAACCACACTAATTGAGGTCATGCTTATTATGCTTTCCTTGGGGAATGACTGAACATGAACAAGCCACATACATGACATAAAATACTACATATTTATCAAGACAAGCAAATCTCACCTCGTTTCTGAATCTCAGCTGTTGAAATGTTTGCATGAACAGCGCCCTCTCTAGACAAATCTTTTTGCTGTGGCCGTGTTTTCTAAACCTCGGCTTCGTTTCGGTTGGGCTTTCTGATCAATGAACAGAATGATCCAACTTTCAGTGTGGGGCGAAGGGGGAGGGGGACAACCGGCCAGTCGTTCATTGAAAATTCGAAAAGCAAGGGAAATGGGTGGAGATGGTCTTCATTTGACGCGGAAGGGGGAGGGGGGCGCTGTTTTTCCCGCTTTGTCTTATTTTGGGGGGTTAATTTCACATTTAAGTCCGTAGGAGGAAAGGAGCGTCGATTTGCCAACTTCACTTGACCTCGTCTGGTTTAATAACTTAAAAAAGGAGGTAAAAAAACACTTGTTTTGGGAGATCTGAGGCCCACGTTTCCCCCCCCCCCCCCGGATCCGCCCTTGCAAAAGTATAAATGTACATATAGGTCAATAATGGAAGGGTGTACAGTACACAATCAAGGGCGGATTCAGAATACAATTTGTTTCTTGGAAGGGGGGGGGGGGAACAAATTGGGGTCCCTCAAAAAGTGGGTTCAACTAAGACTGGGGTTCGGGGCCCGCTTAAGGGCCCCTGGAAATTGTTTTGGATTCTAGATGCTCTGTGGTGCGATCTGAGGCAATTTCTGACCACTTTGACCAATTATTTTGAAGGAAAAGATGGTGGTGTACACAGTGCCTGCCTTTATTGCGACTCACTTAAAAACAAACATTGGGTTCGTGTGTTTTTTTTGGGGGGGGGGGGGGGATGGCCCCTGTTGCCCCTCCCCCCGGATCCGCCCTTGCACACAATGTGTTCTCGGGTAAGAAAGTCCTATATTTTCAAATTCAATCTTTTAGAACCGTCCTCCCACCTCCGTTTTCCCGATCACAGGTTGGCGCGCGCCCCCGCTACTTCAAATTGTCAGATTGGGAAGGAAATTTAACGGGGACTGGCGATTCGATTTATTGACAACGCAACCTCTCCACTCCACCCCCTTCTCGCCCGACATTTTTTTTTATTACCGAATGATGACTGTTAATGCTACGCCATTAATGAATTATTTAAAGTCAATAACCATTTGAAAAGAAAAACTCATCACACGCTTAAAGCAATCTTTCGTTCTTGTAATCGGATTTATTAATTCTTCAGACGCACGATACCAATTTTACGAAGGTTAAATAATTGAAGTGCGATGACTATTTCCTGTGCGCAGTGGGCCTATAGGGGTGCGTACCTTTACTATAGTGATTATTATGGGCAATACCGTGAAGCTGTGATGCGTAAAGAAAGCTGAAAATAATTAAAGGAACCAATCAATGTACACCTGCTTAACTGAAATTAATTACTATAATCTAAATGTAGAGCTTACTCTCATGAAAATCAGGCTGAGAAAATCGTCTTCCCTTGTTTTAGGCCTATATATCAACATTACCCGATAAGGCAAAAAAAAAAATATTCGGTCTCTGGTCAGACCAAAGTTCCGGAATTGACGCGGCGACGCGGCTTTTCTTTTCTTTTCTTTTCTTTAAGCTTGGATTGTACAGACAAGGTGGGGTACTATTTTGCTTTTTTGGTGTCTTCATGTACATTGGTGTCCTTCATAATTTGCTTTGGTGCTCTCGATCATTTGCCGTGGTGCAATTTCCCATTCCTTGGTGCTCTTTGGTAAAAAAAATTGAGGAGGTGCGGCTATAGAGGGCGCTGTTGGAGCTACCGTGGAACATTTTGGAGAAAAAAAAAGATTGACGTGCATGATTAAAATCGACGCGCGCGCTGACCAGAGACCGACTTATTTTTTATTTTTTTGGCCTAATAAGGAGCACTGGCGCGCACGCTATGTGCCATACGTGATTATGACCAACGTTTAACCCTCTATAAGATATTCAAGGATTTCAGTGGTTTTTTTTATACTACTGTTGAGCATCTGCAAGGATAATACTACAAGAATGTCTATGTTATTACCTCCGCCAAGGAGGTTGTGTCTTCATCGGCGTTTGTTTGCTGTTTGTTTGTTGGTTTGTTGGTTGGTTGGTTTGTCTGTTCACAAGATAACTCCAAAAGTTATGGACGGATTTGCACGAATATGTTATTAGGGGCGGTCCTTGGTACAAGTACAAATCGATTAGATTTTGGAAGAGATCCGGATCTGGGTCGGGATCCAGGATTTGTTTAAAAGATTCTTCACCATTTACGCGAGTATTTCTTTACTGACAATATGGCGGGGAATTGTTTTGCCTTGGCAGAGGTTTGCGTTCTCTGAGTGCTTTCTAGTTAGTCTTTGCGATGATTATGTAATCACAGAAAACATCGTGTTACATATGGGACAAAAAGGGGACCTTCTTTCGACTTTTCTCATGCAGCTGATGGTGATAAGGAACATCACTACATTATCAAGTTGTTTATTTTATCATCTGGCTAGTGCACACATTTTCTTTATTCTCACTTTGATTAATTTCTAAACCTCAATCATTGTTCGTTTGAACAATGAAACTGCACAAAACACAACACGTGCGAAATCAACAATGAAGAAAGTTATAGCACAGGGAAAAAATTACATACATGTGAACTTTATAGGCAGGAAAGTGAACAGGCACAATAAACACAATCACGCTGTTAGCCGAGAGCACTGATCTCCATGTGAAAAGTCTGGATGGCCCGATGGCCACTACCCGCTGTACACAGTCTGGTTCCCAATCCCTCCACTGGAATACTGTACGGAAACCAGTTTATACTACTCCAATCGTATTATAAGATTAATTATTGGTGTCTGAATTTACTCTGGCAAGAATTTATTTTCTATAAATAAGAAAAATCAATAAATTTAGTCACAGAGGCCAACATGGCAATGTTATTAAAAACATTTGGTTACAGTTCCATATAAATATTGTTAAAGTTAGGCCAAAAAAAAATACTCGGTCTCTGGTCAGACCAAAGTTCCGGAAATGATGCTTTTTTTGGGTGTCCTCATGTACATTGGTGTCCTCCATAATTTGCCTTGGTGCCCTCGATCATTAGCCTTGGTGCAATTTCCCATTCCTTGGTGCTCTTTGGTAAAAAAACATTGAGGAGGTGCGGCAATAGAGGGCGCTGTTGGAGCTACCGCGGAACATTTTGGGGAAAAAAAGATCGACGCGCATGATTAAAATCGACGCGCATGATTAAAATCGACGCGCGCGCTGACCAGAGACCGACTATTTTTTTTTGGGCCTTAAGGGAGTTGTAATATGGCGGGCAGTGATTTCGCTTTGAACAGCCAGTGAGCTATCTTTTTCTTTCTTCTTTTACTTGGAGATCAGTGGCCTGGATCCTAAGCAATTAAAGTCTGGACGGAATGACCTGTGAACACATAAAGATAATTACGCAGAAGTGCCGCGATTTATTATGACAAACAGAACGTGCACGCCAAACAGACTTGCACTGAACACACATACAAGGTGAGTAAAAAAAAACATCCAAAAACCAAATGTCGGGACCATTTTCTTAGTGAAGTTCTGCAGGCAGCACTTTCAAAATCACGGATATGAAAGCCCAATTCATAAGCTTTCTTTTTGTATAAGATCTCATTCACATCACCGATGTACTTTTTAAGTTACGGAATTTCAAACACAACCACCGTTTTCTAAGTTTTGCCCACGGATCACAAGAAAGGTACGTGTTATATCAACAGAAAGAACGGACACTTTTTTGTGTGATCCGTGAACAGAACTATATAAAACGGTGGTTGTATTTAAAATTCCGTAACTTAAAAAGTACACCGGTGATTTGAATGGTTCTTGTACCAAAAGAAAGCTGATGAATTGGGCTTTCATATCGTACATTCTGAAAGTGCTACATGTAGAACTTCACTAAAACAATGGTCCCCGACATATAGGTTTCAGTTTTCTTTACTCACCCTGTACTGGAATTGTTTCCTTGTGGAGTCATTTCTTTGTTCTGTACTACAATTTTAGAGTTTGAAAGTGTACTTTCAAAATGCTCCTATTTTAACCAGAATTGATTTCCTGGGCCGAAATTCGGACTTATTATCCCTTACATAAAATACTTCAATTTGCGACACATCAACACACCTTGGAAATTCCTAGTTTTTGAGTAAAATCCATGCATATATCTATTTCGTGATAACCCTGTATGGAGACGTGTTCACCTATAGAAATTGCTCTCTGGAGACGTACGCAGTCTTTTGTTATGCACATGTCCCCACAGGGTACCGTGTACCAGATCACTGATCATCGGCCATCGTTTTCCAATCCTTGAACACGTTCTATAACGGTCTTCACAATAGGCTTTATTCACCAGTCGGCCATAATAAATGGAAAGCGAGGTAAACAATCTCAATTTTTGGAATTGCCTTTCCGGACAACCGAGGGCGCTCTAGCTATGAGGTCACTACAGGAAGACACTGTTCAGTTTAGGGGTGCAACCCTGCAAAAAAATCCCATAGACACTAGTGCTAAATGTGCATACTTCAAAATTCTTTTAAAAATACTCAGAACTCTCACAGGTATTCAAGCTGCACAGAAAAATGATGAACAATGTGTCATCTTTCATTTTCATTTCATTTTTGGGTGGGTTGACCATTGCCTTTTCGAGATATTCTCACCCAAAGATGACGACCCCTATTTTCCCCAAAGCGGAAAAGTAGCCATCTTGAAAAACGATCCCTCCACAACATGGCAAAATAGCGCCACTTTCGAGCCCAATAGCATCCAAAATGCTCAGAATTGGAAGCCCCAAGTCCGGGCTAGAGGTTCATTACCATATCTCTTCAATTCCCCAATTTTATGGCTCTCACAGCTCTCTAATATAGAATATTTTGAGGGTATAACTTTTATTCACGAGCTCGGCGGACGGATTTTTGGCCTATTTACAGGTGTGCACTCTTAGGGTTTTATGTTCAACTTATCTATGAGAAATGTTTGCTCATTGGCTTACTGCCATGTACTGGCACAACAAGGAATTGCCACAGAAACGAAAATAGATGACAGCAAAATATCCAAAATTCTGGCAACTGATGTCGGTGCTGAAATAACTGTATAATCAGGTTTCTGCCTAAATTTAGTTCACACTTTTGCTCATGAATATGGAAATTCGCATTAGCACAAAAACCGAAAAATGCACCAAAATACCCTTAATGATTAAACCCAAAAAAATTAAATAAGGTTAAATGGGACACAAAGGTGCATTTTCAAGGATTGCATTAAAACAATTGCGTTGCATGGCCTGTAGACCCCTTTTTTTCTCTGAGCCGCATACGAATTGCGTGCGTGGACTATTTCTTATGGTCCCTATTATTTTGTACAGGACGAGTCAAAAAGAATGTGACTGGGATTATAGGTTTGTTTTTCTTAAAAAGCAAACACATTTGATACATTGATGAAGCATGTTGTGGAGTGCTGTGGCTTCGTGGTTAAGGGCACTGGATTCGTGGTCTGTGGGTAAAGCTGCGGGTTGTGGGTTCGAGTCCAGCCGGGGTCATGGTGTGTGTGCCCTTGAGCAAGGCACTTTGTCACTCATTGCTTCTCTCCACCCAGGAGTAAATGGGTACCTGTGAGGGCAGAGATGGTAATTGTGATTGAATAAGCTTGCTTGCGCCTAGCAGCGCATCCAGCTGTATACTCCCCAGGGAGCTGAGATGGTATTTGGAATGTTTAATTGGCCCAAATGCTCAGGGGTAATAGTAATACTGTAAGCGCTGTGATTTAGTTTACTAATAAGAGCGTTCTTAAATGCCGATTATTATTGAAATTGATCCATGCCATCAGAGGTTATACGTGTTTTACTCAAAGAACCAATTTTTATAGCTGTCCATGGAATGCCATTGGAAGCTATTGAGCTGAGTGAGAATTACAGATTACACACATGCATTCAAATACAACTGAGATTTGATAATTGAAATCAAGACTAAAACATTACTTTTACTGTCAGATTTTGTGTTTTGAATATGAGAGACATATGCCAACTCTTTTTTTTTCTGAAATACTGATGACGATTTTTGTAGGCCTATGTTTTCCTTTGCAAGTTCTCGTTTATCGAGGTGGAAAAACGTCCATTTTTTTTTTCATTGTGCTCAATGGGTATTCATCAGTTCGTAGAACGGTAAATGATCAGTGGTGGACAGCCGAGTTTTATGATCTTTTTATTACATTATAACTAGGAAATAGAGTATGCAAATTACGTGAAATTTTCACAGTTAATAGTCAATAAGATGTACTTGATCCCTATTTTTTTAAGGATTTTATGAAATGGAGCAAGGCAAATATTTTAAAAATATTTTTCAAATTCGGTCACTTTCTTTTTGATTCATCCTGTAATGGTCCGTATCGGACATTACGGGCGCAATGGGTTCACCGATAAGTAAGTCAAGCAATAAAAGGTGATAGGAAAAAAACAGGCATTTGCATCAAACAGATATTTACATAAAATGCAACTGAAGAGAAAAAGTAATTGGATTTCAGAGATCGAGGCGAAACCTCATTTAGCAAAGTATACTCTGTATACGCCTCAAGTAAAACAACATAATTTGGTCATTCGTAATTAAAGCAATATCTTTCTGCTGGTATCTCATCTGTTGTCTTTCCTTTTATGGGTAGGGGGAGGAGCTAGTTCCAGCTTGGCCAGACCGGATATGACGTCATCGGGGACCTGACCCGTCTCCTCGTTCATTGCTGTTTTAAGAGAAAGAAATTAAGAGTGTGTTGTATCACGAGGTTAGATTTTGCTGGTACCCGGCAGTTTTGTCAAAGGCTGTTTGCGTAGTTGCATGTGAAGCCAGCCAAAAATCTTGTGGTGGGAATAGCAAAACCATCTGATGATAAAAAAGGTCACATCTCGTAAAATAATCGAAATAAGTCGGCCAGATCACCATTGTCAGTGTCGTCGTGCAAAGTTAATTTTGTGTAATGGTCAAATTCTCCTTGATTCTGAAACAAACAAAAATAGTCATTTTTGTAATACGGCTGCTAACCAGTGATCCCTCAAAAGGCATCTATCGCCCATTCCCTTAAAGCGACTGTATTTACGAACGGGAAATGCTATCACAAAGCCGCCTATATGTCATTCTTACACACCGATTATGTAACAACTCTTTGAAGGGGATTTTAATCCTGAATATAAGCAAATTGATACCTTTGAATCAGAGGCAGCCGATCTCGTAATTGTATACTAGGACAGCGTACTTGGATTAGTCTATCCGGTTCGTAACTGTGACGTCATACCAACTTAAACCACGCCCACTACACAAAGAGTAGCATTGAAAATCACTAGAATCGTTGAAACCGGAAGTAGTAGAAAGTGGCGTTCATTTAACCAAGGAGTATAATTGACTGCTTTGATGAGGGATATGACGTTTTGACACCCTCTGTCTTGGATTTTTTTTTTTATTTTGATGTTATCACGAAAATAAAGAGCAGTGTAACAATCATTACCAGCGAACGTCAACTCACGTGCATGTCGCATGCTCGAAATAGCTGATCGTCTGGTAAGTTCGCTGCTCCCACTCATGTGTGAAAAAAATGGTGAAAGTAGCGTGGGTACCAACGATACAAGCGTTTTACACCGTACGTACCACGTACACCGTAAAAAGGTTGGGTAAAATGGGTTGATTATAAGACCAATGATGGTCGAATTATCAACTGCCTACACTCTTCGGCAAATTCTTCCCAATAGTTTGACACTTTTTACCCAATTCAACCCAGTATGAGGTAATTTCATACCAATGCTGGGCAAATTACAGTGCCCAACATTGTTTTATCCAACCTTTCTACAGTGTATCCCACATGGAGTGCGCCATGACTTTTATCAACTGAACACGTGATCGTTCTGGGCCAATGAAAAAAACAGTATATAAGACAGAGGTATAACAATTATATTTAGTCAATGGGCGTTAGTTTTTTGTGTATAACGCAGGCAATTACGAACCGGATACTTATCTTGCATTTGACTACAGGTGATTTTGAGGTAAAACATTTCAAATTCTGGGTAAAGAAAAACCACTACAAATTTCACAACCAATGCAATTTTTCCAAGAAATGTACTTTTTGATGATTCTAAAAGATACCTTTGTATTTTCTGGCCGGTCCTGATATTTCTTTATTCTTGGTCTCTTTGTCTGGTAGCGACTGCTTGTAGTCCATTATTTGCGTGACTAAGTCCGGCCGGCATATCTTCTCCAGCGCGTGTTCTAAGTACGATAAATCATCTATATGGAATGAAAACATCCAAATGAACACGTGAATTAAGTGGAACAATTAAGGAGTGACGTTCAGCGTTCTCACAGTTGACACCGTTTGGTGGTTTTTTTTTCTGATGATGTCCAGAGATTTGGTCGTCCACCGTCTTCACGCTGCCTGAATGACAGTACTTTGCCTGAAATTAAACTCTCTGTCATTTCTGAAACCTCGACGTCAGCTTTCCCTCCTCATATGGATTGATTGAGAAGACCCGACTGCGACACTGTGTTTACAAAATTGAATGTAGTGGTCACGTGATGCCAATTTCCAGTAAATGGTTCTCTTCTGCACTGCCTCTCTTGAAATATGAATGGCTTCAAAGTGTTGACGTTATACTGTTTCATACAAGGTAAACAACATGTGAAAGATGCTTAACTGTTTGGGTAGCCGGGCGGTTGCCTATCGGCATGGCGTGCACAGGGCACATGGTCTATCTACAATCCTGGCCAAATCTCGCTGGGCCCCCAACCCCCGGCCCCCGTTCAATGTTGTCTCTCATTGTGCGGTGTGTGCTCCATCAGCTGGAGAGAACAACATTGACCGGGGAAGCGGGGGAGTGGGTGACCGTGGCAGGCTCAGGAAGTGTTCCAACCACTTTGGCCGGGATTGTAGATGGCATTAGAGTAGAGTCCAGACCCAGCGAGTTAGTTTCATTTGACCCGAATGTCACTGATGCAGTCCTTTCCGTGACGCCCTGGCTAGCTTTGCCCCAAAAAGTTCGTAAGTTCGTTCAGTGACATGACTAGTCTCGACTTATTAAATGCAAATGAATCGACCCAAGTCTCTTAGAAAAATCATACTTTTTCTCCTTCTCAAGTGGAACTTCAGTTTCTCGGTTATTTGAGCCAAATTCTGTCGATCTACAGGGTCGGCCAATTGACAGTGATAAAACTGAAAAAACTAGATCGGAAATATCTCGGAAGTTGCGGGCCAACGAATTCGTGTTTCGATGCATGAGTCACGTGATTGTGACATGTAATTTCTGAAAGTAGTGTTTTCAGTATAAAAATAAGGTTTTTGACCCGAGTGACCCCATGATGACGGTTGGCCCCAGTTTGGTCATGTGACATGTTGGGGCTGGGCTACAGATACATTTGACAAAGTTTGGTTGAAATCGGTCAAAATATGTAGGAGCAATTAGACAATGTCAACATTTGTTACTAACTAACGTACTAAAGGAGAGACAGGATGATTCGGTTGGGCTGCTATCCCGCAACTAAAAAAAAAGGAATCGCTGAAACGCAAAAACCATTCTCTTACTGTGAACGCAAAAACCATTCTCTTACTGTGATACAAACAAAATGGCGTTCAAAATGTCAGTTACTCGGAAATTGACTCAAGTACACTTTGAGACTCAACTCGAGTCACTGCCTCAGAATGACTCGGTCTCACTCGAGCCACAACATGAAGTGACCCCTTTACAACACTGACCTGCGCTGAGCTTGCCCATCTTCTCCATGTACTCGAACAGCTCCCGCTGTTTGTGTATCCTCTCCCTCTCCTCGTTAGGGATGACGTCTTGGCAGGCGGCCGCCAGGGAGCGGAGCTCCTCCTCCGAGATGCTCTCCCCGAGCTGCTTCAGGAAATTGTGGAACGAGTCGCCCATGGTTATCAGTTAATTGAACTGGAAAAAATTAGACGAGGACATGAAAATTAATAAACAGATATGCTTCTACTGGCTTAGAAAAGATGGGGGGACTTGAAGACGTTTGGTGGCGGCAAACTGATACAGGTCCTTCTATCATTCCAACTGCAGGTGCACGCTCACGTCACCAGTGTGTGTTTGCCTGTAATCGGGGACCCCCTATTGTCCCTCTTTTGTTTGTACATGTACTAACTTTTTAGGAAGACCTCCCATATGTTTTGTACACGATCGCCAAATTAGGGACCTTTGGGAATATAGGGACCCAATTGTCCTCTATTGTTCAACGGCCCCATTGAATGCAGAAACAAACTCAAACACACAGTCCTGTTAGCCTATACTTACGAGGACCTCCTAGTGTTCCCTTTTTTGTTTATATTGTTTATAATAATAACTTTGTCTCAACACGTCCCATAAGGTTTGTACACGAAAACCTCCCTAGGACTTGGCTCAGGTCCTCGGTGTTAGTGTTATCGCACACACCCTATTGTCCCAAGTCCTCAGTCGTAAAGAATAACAAGGATAACAATATCACCTTCAACCGTGGACCACTATTGTCCCTCTTTTGCTTGTACTTGAGCTTTTTAGGAAGACCTACCATATGTTTTGTACACACACCTCAAATGTGGACCTTCGGTCAATCGTGGACCATATTGTCCTCTATTGTTCAAGGTCCACGATTTGAATGAGTATGGATGTACACACACAAACGGGGCCCTTCTTCTGCCACAAGGCATATACAGGATAATTTCTAATATTGTATTAGATTTCTTATTTATGATTGCTTGCTTCATAATTTGTAAGCTAAAAGTGCATTTAGTTTGATTCTGTATTTTTTTTAATTTCTGAATTTCTGTTCCACCAAACATTTTTTTTAATCACTTCTAAGAGCATTTTGAGTTCATTTATCTTTTTCAATTTCCATTGAGCTTTTACTAAATTTGGTGCTGCAATACAAACAGATTATATGGCGGGCTATCTTCTTTATTAATCTAAGTAGATAAAGGCATATACCGATTTTTGGCTATTATGGAAATTAGATATTAAAGGGGTCATGACATGAATTTTTCTTAGGAACATATTGTGTGCAACTTTCTACTCCTCTTAAATGTATGAAAACTATTTTGACATCCCTTTCTGGTTAATTTTTATTCGAAAGTGGACTTCTTTTAAACATTTAAATTGTCCATGCATTTTCGGACAACAGACGGCGATGTTGCTGTGATGTCAGTAAGCCACTGTTCAGTTTAGGGGTTTTCTGTTCAAATTGTGAACACCAAAATTTGCTTATTGAAGACATTTGTGAGAATCTTTAGCTCATTGGCTTACTACCATGTGCTGTCACAATAACGCATCATCAAAAAAAAAAGAAAATGTATGACAGCAAAATATCAACAATTCTGGCAAATTTTGGTGCTGAAATAGCTGTAACATTGAGGTTTCTACACATGAAATCACACTTTTGCTCATGAATATGTAAATTCACATTAGCATAAAAAAACAAAAAAGGTACCAAATACTAATACCTTGAAAATGGCAAAACGAAAATAGAAAATCAGGTTTAATATGACACAAAGGTGTAATTTCAATGATTGTATTAAAAAAAATACATTTCATGGGTCTTTTATAAACATAGGCCAATATGCTGTTCATTTTTCTCCAGACACTGACTGCAATCTACATTTCGACAATCGGGAAAAAAAGTCATAGACTGCTGGTTCATGGCGCAATTAATCCGTAAAATTATGAAAAGGCGACCTTCTGTTGGCCATTAAACCGGCCAAGGTCAACCCACGATAAAAGCACTCGGAAGTGCACGCTTGATTTAATTGCCCGCCCATGCCCGATGCACTGGGGAACGCAGTTATGTCAGTCGGCAACGCGGTAAAAGCCAGCGTCGGATACAGTGGGGGCGGGGACGGGTTGATAGATTGCAATTAATTTGGGGAGCAGACGACGATTTTTGCACCACTGATACAGACACAAACCAAAAACCAACAACTCAGTGTGCAAGCAAACCGAACAAATATTTACTACTGATCATGCAAACGACTGAATGATGATACATGATGATGATGCATCAGGACAAAAACTTCACCCAAAAATGTAAACTAACAAAATGATGCTCTACAGAGATTCACATAGGGATGGATGTGAATTGTTTTCGTTTCGCTGAAAGAACACACACCTTTTTTGGGTGATCCGTAGACATAACTTTAAAATGGTGTTTGCTCAAAATTCCGTAACTTGAAAAGTAAATGAGTGGTTTGAATGATTCTTGTACTAAAAGAAAGCTTGTTAATTGGGCTTTCACATCCTAGATTTTGAAAGTGCTACATACAGAACTTTTCTGAGAAAATGGTCCTGCCTTTTGGGTTTCTTTTCTTTTTTTGACTCACCCTGTATTCTAACAATTTGCTAGTCTTGTTCCGAGACTAGATTTGAATTTCTATTCCCTATTGTGCAGCCAGTCCCGTGACAAACGCTGTAAAGTTGACGCGGCGGTGGGGGCTCTGTCAACAAGATGAATCAGATCTAGTCTTGGCAATATTGGCAGCGCTACCCAGGAAATTCCGAGCATACATCACGCGCGAGCATTAGCTTGAATGCAGCGCGCGTTGAGGTATGATCGGTTAGCGCTGCCAATATTGCCAAGATCTCGCTAGTCACGAACCGGCTATATAAGGGGAATAAAATTAAACTCCAGTCTTGAACAAGACTAACATTTTGCTTTACATAAGATCCCAATATCAGAAAAGGTTTAACTCTGGAACAAAAGCTTGCACTTCAATGTATTAATATAAAAAAAATGCATCTTAAAAATGTGACATGACTCAAGAGATGTGTTTCAGGCACAACATTTTTGACTTATTTTAGGGAAACTCTTCTCAAACGAATCAAACCGCGGTTACAATTTGAATGAACAATAGCATTCATTTGCAGTGCATGTTAGAAAGAACATTGAAGTGTGGCAGCTTGGTTTGGTTTGTGGCTCCTTAAAGAAGGGCCAAAGTTTCGGATCCAATGCTCGCCTTAGGCTGTGTCCAGGAGCAAGCCACTTTACTCTTACTTGGTCAGGTGCACCCGGGAGTTTGAGTGGGCACCGGTGTTAGCTATAATCTGTGATACACTGCCATCTCATCGAGGGAATAGAACCTAATTCTAAATAAATGAGCCATAATTGGCTGGAGACAAAATTACCTCAGCACGAGCGTGGACATGCAACAAACCTGTCGATAAACCAGGTATATCCAACCGAGACTTTGGTCCGAAGAAATAAAAAAAAGGTAATTGCGAGGACATGAAAATTAAATTGGATTCCTAAGAGTGAGGCAAAAACCAGGGCCTTTCTAACAAGCTTACCGCTATACTGCAAGCAAAGGCTAGCAATTTATTTATACAACTAAAATCTACCCAACACGGGAATTCTTGGTTTTTTTTTCCAATTAATTCCATTCCCTCCCTCGCTGACGCTTTTCACTAATTTCCCTCCGCCTTTCATCCGAACGTCTGGCTGATTCAATCCCGCGCATTTCATTATGCGACTTTCGGTAAAAAGAGCGCCGGTTTTTTTTTATCGAGGGTCGCCATCATTTTCCTTTTACCTAGGAGAAATTCTGGTCCGGCGTTTGCCTTATATGATTTTGTCCTTGGCTTTATGCGAGTCGAACACTATGCGGATGATTACAGAGCCATGCTTGATATTGAAGTACAGGGTGAGTAAAAAGAAAAAAGGGAAACCCAAATGTCGGGACCATTGTTTTAGTGAAGTTCTGCATGTAGCACTTTCAAAATCTAGGATATAAAAGCCCAATTCATAATCTTTTTTTTAGTACAAGAATCGTTCCAATCACTCACGTACTTTTCAAGTTACGGAATTTTAAACACAACCATCGTTTTAAAGTTCTGTCCACGGATCACATAGAAAAGGTGTTCGTTCTTTCAACGAACTCGTTTAAACTACGCTGCATCGGGGGTCCTGTTTATTACGTCACGATTTGATATGTTTTGTTTGCTGCCCCCAACGACGACCTTTACACAAATTGCACGTTCGGGTCGAAACAGGACCTGAAAAACAGCTCTCAAAAGTACTTTTTGTACTCATTTCATGACAGACACAATAGTCGTTTTTATTTCATCACACCTTAGGCTACATAATACCCGAAAAATGACGGAAATGTCTTCGAGCATTCCACAACCTCTTTAATAAATAGATCACAAAATTCAGCTGTCCACCACTGATCATATACCGTTCTATGAGCCGATGAATACCCATTAAATACAAAGAAACATGGACGTTTTCCCGACTCCATGAAGGAACGAAAACTTGCACCGGAAACAAGACAAAAATCGCCGTCTATATTTCAGAAAAATTTGACTCTAATGATTAAAATCTCTGTTGTATTTGAATGCTCAATAGTTTTCAATAGCATTCTGTGGACAGCTGTAAAAAAATAAAATGGGTTCTTTCAGTAAAACATGCCATAACTTCTGATAGCATGGAACGATTTCAGTCATTCTTTTTTTTTGCAGGTGAGTGGAAGGACATGCTCTTTTAAGAATTACCTCATTCGTGTATCAAATTTGATTGCTTATTATGAAAAAAAAATCATTAATCCAGGTACTTTCTTTGGACGCACCCTGTACTTGAAAAAAAGCACAAACAATAAATTGCACAATGGACATTGTCGTTTGTCTTTTGGTATTTGGGCAACTTACACCTAATCTTAGATGCCTATACAGGGTGGATAAAAAACCCCAACGAAACCGAGATATTATTGCTAATTGGAACAGATGTAGGGCACATGTGAATCAAAGGGAGATATCCTCTGTTAGGGTTGGGTCTCCTCTTTAAAATGACACCCTGATCGTGCCCTCACATTCACGGTTGACTGAGCAGTGACCAATTTTATGAAAGGGTCTATTTAGAGAATTTCGCCACTTTTCATGTTGAAATCTCTTTTTTTCCCCACCTGCCTTGA